ATCGCTAAGTGAAACGTCACTGATCACCATGTATGTTCTCAGGTTGTGGTACTGGAGCTGCAGAGAGGCGATCAGGTCTATGTGGAGCTAGTGTCCGGGAGGAAGCTCTGTAAATACCTGGACTACAATATCTTCACTGGTTACATATTGTACCCATTGTTCCCTTTAAATTATGAGTAATAAACCAGTTTGAGATCCAGGCTACTAAACCTCTCTTACTCCAGGACCGTGCTTGAATGAATCCATTTATACATGCTCAGCTGAGATCAAAAAAACTAGCAGCTTTTTCACATGTTGACCCACCAGATGACAAGCCCTATAGAACCCCTACAGTAGATATAAACAGGGTAAGTTGTACATACATAGACTCAAGCATGTGGGCAGGCATTTATGATCAAATGCAAAGAAAAACACATTTTTACATTGCATGGAAACAAAAAGTCACATGTTTGCAAATGTTTGCATCATTAAAAAAATATATGCTACAACTACAGTGATGGTCTGTGTACAGAGGAAGTGTGAAGTTGTTTTGATTTGGACACAATAAAAGTTTATTTGACAGGTGAGGTACATTTATTTTCTATTTTAATTTGTATTTCAGCCCACTGGCCCCACACACACACACACACACACACACACACACACACACACACACACACACACACACACACACACACACACACACACACCATCCATGAATGGAAATAGGTAGCAGTCAGAGGCTTTGATATCATTTGGGAATGATTACAATGGATCATAACACTGCTGCTGCTGCTGCTGCTAACATTTGGCCTATTACAGTATTGTGTAACACTGTAAACAAGTGCCTTTCATGGAAGCTCATTACAAATGAATATAAACCACTGCCAGGTTAAGGAAATTCTTTCAGTTGAATAAACACATGATGTAGGAGCAGCTTACACACTCTCTCTCTCTCTCTCTCTCTCTCACACACACACACAAACAGGTGCGCACACACAAAAATACATACCAGTCATTCCAGTAAGAAGCTTAAATGTGGACCCATGTTGTTACTTTAAAGGGGTAGTAGGACATTTTGGAAAATACAAAATTTAATTTCCTTACTTGACAGCTGGATGAGAAGATTGATAGTGCTCATATCTGTCCATTAAATATGAAGTTACAGTTAGGAGATGTCAGTTTAGTTTAGCACTGAGACTGTAAAACAGCAACAGCTAGCTATGTTATACTTTAGTTTTTGTATCTGTTAATCAAAAGTGATGCAACGTGTTAATTGGTGAGTTTTACAGACCCTAACCCTGAGGCGGATTAACAGTGCATGAGAAGAACAAAGCCATATAACATGAATATCACAGAACCAAAATTATACAGACAGATGAAACAAAATAGATGTTTTTTGTTTTCTTGTGATTATAAGAGAAGCATAGGCGGAGTGAGGAGGAGGCTTATGGGCCTCCAGCCCCGGATGTTTTCCCAAAAGCCCCAAATCTTATATGACGTTTATTATAACAATATTTATATTTATAACTTCAACTTGGTGTCATTTCCTCTCAGTCTCTCTGACTGGACCGGCAAATAAATGGAGCTCTATTAGTACTGTACTGGTGAGATTTATATTTTTCATTTTTGGTGAGCTGGGCGAGCCATGAGGGAAAATGAGGAAGAGAGCGCGGGGAGTGGACAGGACAACCTGTGGACCAGGAGAGGAAGCAGGAATAGAAAAGCAGTGAAAACCTGAAGTTAAAAAAAGAAGAGAGGAGAAACATATGTGATGAAGAACCAGGAGGGGAGGGGTGGAGAATGAGTGAGAAGAAGACAGAAAGGAAGTCTGGATTTGAAGAGTGAAGAAGAGAGTAGAAAGGGAGGAGTGAGAGAGAAAGAGAGGAAGGAGAGAAGGGGAAATGAGATGAGAAAACTTTGGTATGGAGGTAGATTTTGTCTCAATATTATTTATGTGGACTGATTGACAATCAGTGAGTAAATGTGTGATCTGTAGATATAAAACTTCCACAAGTAAATAACAATAAAAATACATTTGTAAACTCACAAAAATATCTTACAAATATAAAACAGATATACAAACAAATTTCACGAATAAAAACATGTGTGAATGCATTCAATTAATTTACAAATAAATGAAAAGCATTAGTGAATATCTTCCTAATATTTACAACTTTCAAACAAACATTTTTGAATCAATTTTCTTTTCTCTACGCTTGTGGATTTGCGTTTTAGTTAGCTAAAGTAATTAGCTGATGAATAGCATGCCTACCGTTTCCACTCTGATGCACAGAAAGCTAGCCGGCTAGCCAATATTACGAACAAACTTAAGACAGGAAATGCAACTGCTCACGTCTCAGACCCATGGCAAACTGTTAACTAACAAGTTGTTTACCGATCGTTTTAACATAAAGACTGGAAGTGTGATTTAAATGGAGATATTTTAATATGATGCAGGCTGCTGTTCACACTGCTTACCTTGTACCGTGAGAGAAGAAAACATTGAACCAAGTTGGCATCCCACGCGGAACTCACCTCAAAACTACGGTGCCCCACAGCGGTCAAACAACACCAAAACCGGGATTCACACTGGAATAAACATCGCAAATGCCACACCCAGTGGCTTATTTAGGCTACTGCCCCACACCCGCATGACTATATGTATACATGTACAGTATATCCCTGATAGTATGCATGTATGTGCAAGAGCTTAGTACCGGTATATTTGTATGTGCAAGTGAAGTATTAAATTTTGGCCTAGCAGCTTCTCATAGAATTGACTAAAACTGAGTAACACACATTGATATTGTGGATAATAGAAAACTGAAAAATAGATTGATTCCGCACAGAATAGATTTTAGTTTGCTCATGTTACGGTATTATTTGCTCAAAAATATTTTTTCTTCAAAATATAATTTGTGTGTTTGCAAAATGTATTTGTCTGTGCACAAAAAGTCCCACTGAGCCCTCAGGAATGAGGCACAGAAATAACTCCATACTTTTACAGTAATTACTATAAATGTATGCTTAGAATATAAACTACAATCATGGTTTCCCTTTTAATGATATTCAGTTTGTGATATGCAAATGTTTGTGTTTGCCTATTTTACATCCAGGCGAGTAAATGTCGCACTGTTTACATAACACATCAAGAAATGAACATTTTCTCAAACCATTAAATAATAATCACGTTTATAAATATACAGTTCATTAATTTGAAAGCCATTTTTGACTAAATGAAAGGCTTAAATGTCACGTGTTACTCCTGGGCCCAAGGACAGTTAAATCTGTATTATCTGTCCTAAAGCTAGAAATCAGAGAGAATCTACTGACTTTGTGAAGAATCAGCAGATGTGTATTCCAGTAAAATATTAATTAAATGTCAGAAGTGACAAATGAAAATGTGGAATGCAGGAATTGCATTACTCTTTTTAATTTAAATATAGCTGAAATTACTTTGAGCCTCTAAGTTCCCTCACTAACCCCATAATCTACAGTGGCTGTGTAGAGTACCCCCCCCCCCCAGGTCTCATACAGATTTTGAATTGGATATAAAGCTTAAAATTTGAAACACTCATTTTAGTGTAAGAAAATATTTTTTATATTTTATATTCGACAATTTTTGCCTCTTTTTATGTGACATTAGGGAAAATTTGTCATTGTCAAAAATCTATTGTGTTGTGGTTTCAGAATGATGGAGACAGAGAACAATTAAATTCAAAATATGATGCGGGTAACTAGGGTAACTATCATGTTTTTCCCAAATGATGTAAAAATGGCTTGATACAGTAAACAGCGCATGTAGCTGCTGTGAATGAGAAGAGAAAATCCCCGGGGGAGCTTGTCCCCCGAATATTGACTTAAGTTGGGGCTAAGCCCTGAATGTTTTTCAATGTCTGGCTCCGCCCATGGAGAGAAGTATTTTGTGATATTGGCAAGGTTGTTTTCTTAATATCAGAAAGGAATGAGTATTTTCATTATTTACCTCATGTCCATGTGAATATACTTGTGTACACCGATGATGGAGTGTGTTTAAGTAAGGGTGGTTACACATGAGTTTCTCATCCTGAGTGTGATCTAACGTCAGACTTTCCACTGAGGTAGAAAACTGCAGTTATAAGTGTGCGTTCTACGGCTCTTATATTCGAACAGGAGCAGCGTGCCAACAAGTGTCTGTAATGGAATGGAAGTGATGGAAATGTCACGAGTGGGGGTGGAGGGGTTTACATGTACGCACGCACACACGCACACACACACACACACACACACACACACACACACACACACACACACACACTGGGTGCAGCTACTGAAGCACCCAGGACTTACATGGAATTCTCTGTCTGAATGATGATGAGTTTGCTACTCCTCCTCACTCTTATCCATTTCTCTCTCCTCTCCTTCTTTCTTTATTCTGTTTGTTCCTCTCCTCCTATTCTCTCCATCTTCCTTTCCTCTCTTCTCCTTCTGTCTCTCCTCTCTTTCTTCCTCTCCACTTCCCTTCCTCCTCATTGTTCAAAAATACAGAAACAGTCATTTTAGACATTGTTCCTTCCCTGCGATGTGGGATAAAACTAACACCGTAAAACTCTTTTCCACATCCACATTCTCGATTTTCTTAAAGTTTAATCTCTCCTCCTCCCTCTCTCCCCCTCTCCCTCCAGCCCCCCCCCATCCTCTCCCTCACCATCTCTCAGCCATTTTGACTGAGCCGAGGGATGTGGTGAAAGTATTTGGAGAATTCCCGCTGACCAAACCAACAGTGCCTGGCCGCCGTCTCCCTCCTCTACATGGAACAGCTCTACCCAAATAAGGCTGGGCTTTTTAACTCGACGTGAGGGGAAGAGACACAAAGACAGGGAGAGGGAGCTGCTGAAAGGCCATGCCCTTTTTAGGGATGAAGTTTCCTTTTTTCCTTCCCCTCTCTCCCTCCTATTTCTCTGTCATACTCCCTCCTCCCCCTCTCTCTCTCTCTCTCTCTCTCTCTCTCTGTAGACTGTAGTGAAGTCATCTTGCCTCATCTGCTCCTTTTAAGCCGGCATTTTTGAGAGGGAGGTCCCTGGGAAGCATATACAAACACTCAGTCAAGCATCCACGCTCACCCCACAAACTGCTCTAGTGGCCAGCAGAGAACTGACTGATTCCTTCATACAGTGAGTATACTTTTCTTTTATTCCACCACATAGGATAAAGCTCCTGAAGTGGATTTGGGACAGTGAGACAAATCAGCTGAGGCTTGTCAACAGGCCATCACTTTATAGATCAGTCAGTCAATACTTTTGAATGCACGAGGCCTTATTAGCATCTTTAAAAAATATGGATACGTCTCTATTACACATGTTTGAATATAAAATGTCAATAGAAGGTGTTGTGGTAATTTCAAAATAAGAGAAATGTAATCAGTCAAAGCTCAAAGGAGAGGACTATATGCAAATACACACTTTAAGATGCATCTGCACTCGACCATGAGTTAAACAATGGTTATCACATACACTGTATATAGACACTGTATATAGATATATGTATATATCAAAGGTTGTTTAACATATGTAAAAGTTGTTTCATATCTTCTGTTTGAGTTCCTCGTATAGTCAGTACTGTGTGGGTGTATCTGTCAGTGAGAATACTGTCAGTTACATCAGGTATTATTCATTTTAATGTCATTGTAAAAAATTGCTCTGGTTGAACTCAAGCTTTTTATTGGATTTTACACAATTTCCTATATTTTGACAGAGAATTGTCTCATTCCAGTTTGACTCACTTAATCCTTAATATGGTTCAGATGTTATTTGAGGGTTAATAGGTTTTCCATGTGAAACAGGGGGAGGAGAAGCAGAGAGGTGAGCCAGACAGTGTTGCATATCGCAGTCAGTGAACATACTTTTATTTGCACAAGCAAAAGATCCACTGCCATACATGGGCTTTGGAAACATGACTTCATGAAAGGACGCCACACTTCCTAATGAGGATACAGATTCAGATAAAGAGACTATCAGGTATAAAAGATAACATTTTATAAAGGCAGAGAAATTGACAGAGACGTGCAGCAACATCTCCACAGAGGACATTTAAGCCAATCCCAACTTTCACTGTCTGTCCATGACCATGGGTGTTTGATAACAGTAACAAAAATAACTGCAAAGTCCAAAAGCTTGCTGCGATGGTTGGAGTGAAGGTAACCAGTTAATCATCAAAGATGGCAGCAAACCAAGTGGTTCCAGTAAAACCAGGCCAACAGTGGCAGAGAGGAAGTACCCGTGTGCAGCTCAGCTTCTAAGCAGCAGCAGCAGCAGACGCAGATAACACTATCTGCACTGCCAATCCTGTAGCAGCACATAAACACAGCAGAGCCCAGAGGCACAGTAGTTTAAAATGCCAGGAAATAACCACATCCATGTAACAGTGCAGGGGCTCTGGCATTTAGCTGAACCGGACAGCACTATCTGCACCTCAGTCAGTAGAAGTACATTAGTTCAGACACACTGCAGCTATAAAGTTTGTCAGAATAATCAGAACCATGAACGGTCCTGGCAGCATTTTCTGTGCTAGTAAAAGTCTGGCAAAGCAGCAGTTTTCTGTGCAGCTGCCATAAAGCAGAGCCGTGTAACAGAAGTGCTCTGAGGTCATCATCAAACTGCAGAACATTAGCGAGCAGGGAGAACGTCCTTCAGCCAGATGACTCAACTGACATCAACACTGCTGAGCTTCAGTAAGATGTTTAATCTAACCAAGCTTTATCTCCTTTATTCCTAACCCCAACCTCTAATAAACTTATAATGACGAACAAAATTATTCATAGTGACTAAGTCTGCAGCATCTGCATTCATACCAAATCATTATATGGTGGTTTGCTGATTAACTGTAGAGCAGGCAAGGCCGCATGACGCCACATCCCCTCAGGCTGCCACAGTTGCCACAGCCCTCACACTGGTTTCCTGTCCTGGCATTAGGCAGATTTACCATGGTAATACAGAAACAGAGGAGGACAAACAACTGAGAGAGATGGATGGATGCAGGGACGGAGGTGATGAAGTCATGTTTGTGGGATACAGCACTTTGGGACTTTTGAGAGGAGGCATTATAGGCTTTCTTTTACTTGAAATCTGTGGTTTTATCCTATTTTTGTCTTGGTTTTTCCACATTTTCCTTTTTATTTTGTATTCTTTTCTTTTTCTTTTTAATGTTTGATGTTTTCCCTCTTATTTTATTGTTCAATCACATTTAAAGGTGAATCTTTAATGGTATCATTTTAGTGATCATTGTCCTAGTCAGGAGGAATAGTGCAGGAACAGTAGACGTAATGCTATGAAAAATTGCAGTTGCAAATTGCAAATGTAGTATTATAGAGTGTTTTATATTATATGTAAAGTGAAAACTACCTTAAATATTTAAGGAGAAGAGACAGAGAGCACAGAAGGCTATTAAGCAGATAATCCTGAGCTATTGGACCTGGACTGGGTCCCAAGCATAACAGCAGGTCCCTTGAGACACATAAATACCAGAAATAGAGACCAGACCCAAACAGACTCATTTAACCTCCAAAAATATTGTGATCTTTGTTTGGTTGTCATGCAATGCACACATAGAGACTGATGCAGGACAAAACTTATGGGAGAAATAAAATTCTCTCCTCTCCTCTCCTCTCCTCTCTTCTCTGGACAAGACAGGAGAAGGCATTGAGTGCACAATGTGGTGAACATAGCTTCTATTTCTTTCCCTACAAAGAGTGTAGTGTGTGTCATTTGCAATTGTGGTCCAGAGAGTAGTTTATGAGGCTAAGAACTGGAGGCCAATGGAAAAAAAGAGAAGTTAACAGCATACCAGACAAACATTACTCTGTAATAATGATTATATAATGACGCATGTCAGTGGGAATAACAAGGGGTATGAGTGTGTGTGTTTGCCAGAGCGAGAGGGAAGGGCAAACAGACCAAGATAAAATATAGTATCTGAACTTGTGGCAGAGTATAAGTGAGCGTGTAGCCCGGCATGTGTGTTTGGTTTCTTGCGGTCTGGAAAAAGACTACAGGGAATGCAAAGAATATTAAACAGAGTTGGTGGTAACACTCTGCGGACAACTCTGGGCAGGAATCCATTAATGACGTTGGCATGCAGACTCTAATATGCAGACATGCAGTATACATCTATTTGCAGTGGTGGAACAAGTATGCAAATACTTTATTTAGCAGAACCACAAGGTAAAACAACACCACATTTAGGTCCTGCATTAAAAATTTACTTTACTTACTGTGGGTTAAACTATATATGTAAAAGAATTAAAGTGCACTCGGGTATCCAGAGTTGAAATACCTAGAGTACTCACTGAGGGCATCTATAATCAATCTCTTTATAACAATGGATCAAATGACTACATGTAATGCGAAATATTATAGTGAACACTACATGAACTCTAAATAATGTTTCTTGGATGTGTAAATAAGCTAACAAGTTTGCCATGCCAATTCAAAGGGTGAGAATATGCCAGCATTGCATTTACACCTGGTGTCCCTGCCATGTTGCAGGTCTAAGTCTGGAGTTGAGGTTTGGATGAAACCCTTGCACTCCCAGTTTTAGGTCAGTTGAACAATAAAGGGGTGCAAAGGAGAAAGGAGGGAAGGATGCAAGGGAACAAAGGTGGAAAGAACTAAGGAAAAAAGGGAAAGGAAGGAAGAAAGTAAGGAGTATCTATATGTTAGTTGCTTGTAAAAAAGACCATATGAGATAAACTTACATGAAACATAATAAGTCATAAATCAGTCCAGTCTTGGCCCAACTTGACATTCTGTCACTCTATGGAATGAATACTACAGCCAGTTGGGAAAAAAAAGAGACTCAAACAGCGCTGCTTATTGTTGTGAAACAGAAGTTTATTGTTGCCCATTGTAATAAGACTCCCCGCCCTATGCCAGAGATGAGCTTCTTCTAGTCAACTCCTGGGTTTAACCTTTAACATTTCAACTTTGAACCTCTCCAGGAACAGGAAGTTGAAGTGACCTGACATCAAGATGGCAGCAAAGGTTGGATGGTGCAGACAGCACTTTGACATGGGTTTTGCACTTGGCTGTTGGCCCAAAGGCAATACAGAAGCATAAAACAAAAGAAAGAAAAAAAAACAAAAAAAAAACATGCTGGCAGCGATATGTGTATGTGTTGACAGAGACCAAAAGGGGGAGAGTATGTGTGTGTGTGTGTGTGTGTGTGTGTGTGTGTGTGTATAAAAAGAGAAAATATGCAAAAAACCATCTGGCTGAAATAAAGCTCCCATTGTACACCACTTTGCCTCAGACACAGGTCCTGATTGGGCTAAATGGTGTGCATTAGGAGACACAATGCTGTTAATGCCGCTGTTCTGAGACAGGTATTCAAATGAAGCGCTGCGCATTTACGCTTATATACACGCTTTTGACATGCATGTCGTTAATGTTTGCTTCGGCGTTTTTCATATGCAGTATATACATGAAAGGAGTATCTGTGTTTGTAAGTAAAATATGCCTTAATCTAAATTATTCACACACCTATGCATGTTTGGAGGATGTGTCCAAATTGTACTGCAATGAGAAATGAATTGTTTTGGACTAAGTGGTGTTTGTACGGAGATGTTACACAAGAAAACTGTAAGTTTATGAAATCCGTATGTTGTTATGTTGCTGTAAACTGTCAAGATGGAAGATGAGGATGATACCAGTGACAATCCAACTGCTCACCATCACATTTAGTCAGATTTCAGTCTCTCCAGAGATAATTTTTCCTAATGTATTTTTTCTTTGACTGTCTCCTTCTTTCATTGTTTTCCTCTATTCCTTCCTCACCCATCTACCTCCACTGTTTGTCCCTCCCCTCCCTCCATCTCTTCACCTCTTCAACTTCAATCTTCACTCCACTCTTCCACTGTTTCACACTCACCTTTCAGGGCGGCATGGCTAACAAAGGTCCATCCTACGGCATGAGCCGGCAGGTTCAGGATAAAATTGACAGCAAGTATGACCCTGAACTGGAGCAGATCCTGGTGGAGTGGATTGGCCGTCAGTGTGGCTCCAGTGTGGGGAGTCCAGAACCCGGCAAAATGGGCTTCCAGGCCTGGCTTAAAGACGGATGTGTGAGTACACTTAGTCTGTTTGGTTAATTGATTTTCTAGAATTTGCTTTCAGATTAATAGTCTTTTGTGACTCTTCTTTCTTCCTTTCTGTCTCTCCATCTCGTCTTCCTACAGGTCCTTATCATGCTGATTAACAGTCTGTCTACTGGAGACGGTCCCGTGAAGAAGGCCCACACCTCACCCATGGCCTTCAAACAGATGGAGCAGATCTCCCAGTTCCTCAGTGCTGCTGAGAAGTATGGCGTCATCAAGACTGACATGTTCCAGACCGTGGACCTCTGGGAAGGTCAGCGACTCATTCTCATTCCTCAGCTACTGCAAACATTTAAAGCTAGAAGATAAAACTTTTACTTTTTAAGCACATATGTTTGTATATGACAATGCACAAGTATGGAAACATCATAATGTAACTGATGGCGGGGTTAATAATCCTGGCTGCACTGTATGTGTGTTGGAACAGGGAAGGACCTGGCGGCGGTGCAGAGGACCCTGTCGGCTCTGGGCAGCTTGGCTGTTACCAAGGATGAAGGCACATACAAAGGAGACCCTAGCTGGTTCTTCAAGTAAGTCAAAGATGTGAAATGGAAATTTCTTTATTTAACTGTCCCCCATTAGAATAAGTTTCGTTTTACTTACTTAGTGACATTTTCAATGATGTGTTGCAGGAAAGCACAGGAGAACAAGCGAGATTTCAGCGATGAGCAGATGAAGGCGGGCAAAAATGTTATTGGCCTACAGATGGGCTCCAATAAGGGAGCCAGTCAGGAGGGTATGAGCTACGGAAGACCCCGGCAGATCATGTAAAACCACTGAGCCACAAGATACCAAAACCTCTGCAGCCCCTGACACCCTCTAAGAGCCTGTAAGCGTCTAATGCCTCCCCTTTCATCGTAAAACCTTCTCTGCTTTAGAAATGATTTACTTTCTAAAAAGTTCCCTCTCCTCTCTAGTCTTGACACTTGCCCCGAGAACCCTTATGTAGATGCTTACACTGGTGACCGTTGCAGAGCTCACCATGCTTTGTCCTTCCCACTGCAGTTAGGACCAGTAAAACTGATCAAAAAATAACCATAAAAATGACCAACTCATTTCCTTGGAGGTAAAAACACGAAGACGACCATGTTCCAAAAGTCATGTTGTTCCTTCCTAATATGAAACAGCATTGATATTACAGATGACTGACCACTGTCTCATCTCTGTGTACCAAACGTCTGAATCATGGCACCGGTTTTCTAAATTTTACAAATAGGCTATTGCTTCTGGATTCTGACTCAGAGATCGATTTTTGTATGTAATTTGCAGAAGGGACATTCTTTTCAATTATAGTGGTGACACAACCTGTGGCATACCAGTAACTACTCCTTAATTTTACTGTTACAATATTGTTCCACCACTTCCCACAATGCTCTGCCTGCCATATCAGCGCCCATATTTTTGTACATTGTCTTATTAAATAATGACTTTGAAATACATCTCTGAATTGACTTTGTGATTCTGGGTATTGAGTGTTGTTTGAAGACAGACTTAATAAATGTGCTCCCATCTTTTACCTCTGGAAAGTTTCAATTAAATAAGTGGTGGGTAGAAATAATATATAAAATGCAGTTTTGAAAAATTTCAGTGAGGGAAATAGAAATACAAACGACTATGATTCAAAACCATAAGTGTGATGGGCGCCTGACAGCTACTGTTGCGGTGCACCTGCATCGCTGCAGGTAGTTGAGACATAATTGTTAACAAAGACACATTTTACAAACTTGAGCCCCTTAACCTTGCATTGCAAGGTTTGGTCTCATACAAATCCTTGCTTGGATTTAAATTATTTATGGATTTGTTTTTGCCACTTTTACCATCTTTGATGAATTTCTTCCTGTACCACACAAACCGCAATATGCTATATGTCAGCATGTTAGCATTTTGCTGTGCCTCAGTACAGACAAAGCTGTTAGCATAGCTAGACATTCTTTTGTTTAAAATAATTATTTTTCCAGTTCTACCATCTCAGACAATTTAAGTGCTATATTGCACACAGAAACCACTATCTTCATTCAGCTTTAAGTATTGTCAACAAATTGTTATAATGATGAGTTTCACTGATTTCCATCTACAATCTTTAATTATCATTCACATAACCTGTGACTTGCACAGCAAAACACAGTTTCCAACATCACTCCAAGCACTCCTTCACAGTAAAAAATTAAACTCTTTAATACATTCTTAAAAACACTTTGTACAAATCACGAAACACAGTTCGTATACATCTGTATAGCAGGCACACATTGTGTATATATTACACTTTGTAAAAAAAATACATATGCAAATCCTACACTTGAAAGTCCCACTTCAAGTTTTTTTCAGTAGTTGGGTGATAACCCCTCAGATAATAACCCCAGAATTACAAATCAAAAAAATCACCTCAGAAAATAAATCTTATTCTTAAAATACAGTACACTCTTGAAACCTCACATTTGAAGACACTTTTTCATGGAAGACCTTGCATATTACAAGCACATCCACTCATGTCACAACACACATAGGGGGCACACACACACACACACACACACACACACACACACACACACACACACACACACACACACACACACACACACACACAAACAAACAAACAAACTCAGTCACACATACAGCAGTTTTGTACCATTCTATAGTGCACATCATGTTTTCATCTTTCTCTTGGTTTAAAGACTCAGTTCTTCTGTAGAAGCATATTTACATACAGACAGACTGTATACACCCTTTCACACATGCAAACATGCAATTATACTAGGACCCGGTCAGGTCCCTCTCCAGTTCATGCCTGAAACTTTCTCTAACTTAAACCTAATTCTGATGGGGACTTTAACCCCAGGACTAAATATCCTCATGTTGGAAGATTGTCATCAGTTTTGTTTCCTTATGAGGACATTTGTTAGAGGGACAGGTGTACAACACACACACACGCACGCACGCACGCACACACACACACACACACACACACATTAACAGCACTTATACATAGATTTTCATACAAGGCCACGTGTTGGGGAATGCAGAGAAGGACAAAGAGTCCACTCTTCAGTCAAGTTCATATGCAGGCCATCACCACAGTTACAGGTGTCAGACGCAGTATAGGAGGGTGGGTGGAGAGGAGAGGAGAGGGCCAAAGCCTGAGACATTTTAGACCCATCGTCTGGCTCAGTGCTATGTTACCAGCCGCTCTCCACTGAGAAACGGTGCTTTGGCCTCCGAGTCCAGCACTGCATGCAACTCCACCCCTGAGTCCACTTCCTCTTCCTCCCCGTCCTCTTCTACCTCTGCATCCTCCACTCCTCTCCCTCGGCGCCCTCTCCTGGCCCTGTGACGTCCCCATCTCCTGCGCAGGCAGACAAGGACCCTGAGGTCCAGGTGGGCCAGCGTGACCTCCAGCATGTAGTAGAGAGACCAAAAGAGAGCAAAGCAGCCAAGTAACAGCAGGAACTGCAGGGGAGGAGGGAAAAACAACCATGAAAGTTGGAAAATGTGCAGTAATGTGAAGTAAAGTAATATTTTCTAGAGGGAAAAGGAACACAGTTGTAACCTCTGGTCAAGTAGAGATGGCTCAGACAACACAAAAGAAAAGACCGAGGGACACTAGGACATCAACATTGTAAATGCGTAGTGTGTGCTGCCGAGGTTTACCTTGAGGTTGTTGGAGGTGAAGGGGTTGACGATCTCAGGAGGGATGTCCAGGCCTGGAGGGCAGGGCAGAGAGAAGCTGCTGTCCAGATATTTGCCACTCATAGCCTCCTCCACCAGCCTGTCAATCAATGCACAGCCAATCAGCATTCAGAATATACTCTAAGTTGGCAAAACTGAGGTTACAAGTATTTTTAATATTTAAGTACGAGAAACTAAGAAGTTCATTGTTAAAGATACTAAAATAAAAAATAGTGGAAACAAATAATTAAAATGGGAATGAAAACAGAGACAGTTCAGGTAAAAACAGGACCACCAGGAAGAGAACCAAAAAAAAGAAAGTGAGGTCTTACCTCTGTCTCTCCTTGACCTCACTGAAGGTCATAGAGGATCCATACAGGGACAGTTTCCACTGCTTCAACACTCCCACAGCTGCACACTTCATAGATGATGGCTCTTCTGCAGGACCACAGAGAAGAGTCAGCGTGGGCAGGCGAAGTACATGAGGTCACAAGGAAGCAGCAAAAACCCAAACAACTTCTACCATAAAAGACATAGAAATGTGTGTGTTTGTGTTTCTGACTCTCGGAAAGACATTCCCATCCCTTTGCTGACACTTCATGGTACTTGTCATGTGTGTCGGTGTGTGGGTGTGTAGCAGCGTCTTACTGTGGTCAGATATCTTGAGGGTGTACTGGCCTTCAGCTCTCTCTCCCCAGCAGCGCACAGTAGAGAAAGTCCAGTCCTGGTAGCCTGCAGGGTCTCTGTATGCACAAAAATACACACATCATCAGATCAAAAATATTCATATGAAATTTGACAATGAAGACAATTTAACACGAGCTATATGTAATTTTTAAGATGAATAATCCTACCAACAGTATGATCACTGCTCCCTCTATAATCATTTTAAGAGCATTTCCAAATCACTTCAATACACTCTGTTGTCCTGTTTTACTGTATTCGACATGATACCACAGCAGACATCTATGTGTGCGTGTGAGTGTGTGAGTGTGTCTGTGTGTGCGTGCGCACCTGTCAATAACACGCCGTGCCCCGATGATTGACATCATACCGCTGGGGCAGACCAACACAATCTCCACGCTGCCACGGCAAGGGTGGGTTAACGTCACAGTAATGGCCACGTGCTCCAGTGTCTCCATTCCAGACTGTCTCAGTTCGGCAGCAGAGACTGAGGGAGAGGAGAGAGCAGCTCAGTGTGTGTGTGTGTGTGTGTGTGTGTGTGTGTGTGTGTGTGTGTGTGTGTGTGTGTGAATCTGTGTGTGTGTGTGTGTGTGTGTGTGTGTGTGTGTGTGTGTGTGTGTGTGTGTGTGTGTGAGTGTGTGTGTGTGTGTGTTTGTGTGTGTGTCCTGGATTGATACGGATAGTCATATAAGTGGGAAAATTTGACCCATCATTAAATAGTTTAAAACTTTTGCATGCTAGTAGCATAGCATTGTTACTGTGTGCATATTAGCATGCTGGCATTAGCATTTAGCATGAAGAACCACTAGAGCCTCAATGAGCTGAGAGCAGGGCTGTGGACTCTACGAATAAATATGTAAAAAAATTTAAAAATTAAGAAAGCAAACCCTTTTGAATGAGTCAAAAAGATACAAGCATGTAACACTATATTATATAAAAAAAAAAAAAGAAAAAAAAAAAGATATCACTTGTTAGATTAAAATTGTAATTATAATTTTTTATTTTTCTGCCATCTTTGACAAGACACTTCTGTAAAACCAATGTTTAATCCTATTAAAAGAACTTTCCTGGTTAAATAAAGTTAAATACTATCACATTACATTAAATATATTTTAAACAGAATCTGTAATAATATTAGTGAATAATGTAACATAACTTTATTTTGCTCGTTATTCTCCTCTTTTACATGAATTATATATATATAAATCTTATTAAAACTGGAGCTAATTCTTTTTAAATTCAATCTTCCATCAGACTCTTGAGTGTCTCCCCTCCACCTTTTCTCCATGAAAGTGTTATCAATCATCTTCCTGACCACCTCCCGGCCTCCCACTGCGGGTGTCTGGTAATTTCTAGGCATTTCCTGGGTTCTGACTACTAATGAGCCATGGTGCTCCCTGACCATGTAGGGCTGAACACATCCTTGGGGCAGGGAGGGACGCAAAGGGAGCGAGGAGTGTAAACAGAGGTGTGGAAGGAGAGACAGAGAGTCAAGGGACACAAATAAAGTAAGACAGAGGGCGGGGTGATGAGGAGATGGAGACAAGTGAAGGAAAGGGAGGATGGCGGGTGAGCTCAGTGGAGAAGATGGAGTGTAGAGGGTGAAAGGGAAAGAGTGGAGAGAAGCAGAGAGCAAAGAAAAGATTTGGTGAAGCTGCATTTTTAACTCTACCACTGCTGTGTCATAGAAGAAACTCCACTGTGGCAGCGAGTGGGGGCTTCAACTGGATGTTGAAATCTCCGATACATGTGGGTTGGCGTTTCATTCAACTGCTGATTAAAAGGCATGTATTCAATGATTTCAACAGCATCACTATCCAGACTTTTTAAAGAAAGTCTATATCCACCTGATAAATCCCTCCCAACACAAAGTTTGGTTAAACTATGGTCCAGGCAACAGAAGGGCATGTCAATGCTCGGAGATGAAAGGATGAAGACATATCTTGGGGCAATGTGTGGGAAAATACCATCTGCTCCTCCCCAACCTCGAGCTTATTCATTTTAAGTACTGCCACATAGTTTTCTATATACCCCGGTTACTAATGCCAGAGGGTCTCACAGCTGCCAAAAAACTTTTAGTCCAAATATGGCTGACACCTCACGATCACAGCTCCTGAAAATGGCTGAGATAGTTTTATGACATTGTGTTACTTGATCTGTCCACTGCCTGAATTAATAGGGCAAGATCCTCCTCTTCGGTGATCACATGCAAAACATTAGAATTTGTACCCGTTATTCTGATCTGTATTTGCAAATGATTGGGGCAATCTATCTAGGTGGGTCACTAAAATAAATTCTGAACACTAAGCATGCTTTGTTAACAGGGAGAGAGGTGTAGTGCTTATGGTAGTTGTACATTTTCCCCTCTCTCATGTGTTCTACTTTTCACTCAGAAACTTTCAAACACACTTGTGCAACTGCTGCTTTTTCATAAAACAGCTCAGCCCACGACCCCTGAACTCGACCGACAGCACTGTGGAATCTGACTGGCCATCATTAGGTCACAGCCAGTCACTGTGTGCATGTACATAAACACACTAACACGCATTAGTGGTGGAGGTGTTCACACGGGAATCCAGCAATCTAAAATACTTAAGGGACAGGGCATTAGCCAATAAGGCAGCCAAAACACATAGAAACTAGGACAACAAACATTGCTAAGTAATGTGACAGACAGACCTAAACACTGTCAGTGGCAAACAGCCTGTCAGGGATTTGACAAAGACTGATTCAACAGAGGGTTAAAGAAGAAAATGTGTGTTACAGGAGTTTAATGTGACTCAATTTCTTTTTGAAATTAAGCCCAGTCTGCTCTGTAACCATCAGCAACTCTTTGCTTTGTCCTCAAGAAACTCCAGCTGCATGAGACTACACACACACACACACACACACACACACAGACGCACCAACACACACACACCCACACACACACAGGTCTCTGGCTAGGCTCTTGACTGGGACGAGGCCATAAAGAGGGAAGATACCAATCGAGGGAGGAGAGGAAAAGAGACGAGGGAGAAGGAAATGTTTCTGCTAGAATGAGGTCACCGTGAGCATATGTGAAAAAGTGCGTTCGAGAGAGAAAAAGAGACAGATCACATACACAGACAGCTGAGTATGAGAGAATCATAGTGGTGGGAAGTGAAGAAGGAACAAAACGTACAGAGAGGAGTTGTAAAATGCAGAGACAGATTAAGGGGAAAAAAAATGAAGAAAAAAGGAGAAAAAAGAAAAAGCAGCAATCTGGAAAAATCTCACCCACTATTTCAATGTGGACACAGGAACTCACAAACAAGAGAACTTTACCTAATATGGACAGGGAGACTGACTGGGGAGCAGGCAGGGAGGGAGGCAGGGAGTCAGCTATGGAGCGCAGTGTGTAAACTCGACAAGCAACTGTCCAATACCGAGCTGAGAGAGCGAGAGGGGAGCAGACAAGCAGAAAGAGTTACCGTTCCAGGTACGAATCAGCTCGTCCGGATAGGTCGGGATGGGCGCTTCCTCTTTAATGACTGTGCTCTGATAGGACACGAGGAACGGCACCGGCTCCCACACCTGTGAAACAGAGAAAACTTTGAGCTTTTGTTTTAAATTGTGTTGTGTGAATTAAAAGAAAAAAAAACAAAACATGTTTATAACTTCCCAGACATTAATTAATAGTGATGTTGCAGCCCTAACAATGTATAAATGTATGCATGTACACTGGCAGCATTGACGAGCCTCCATGCGTTGAGCAGACCAAAGCCGTGCTGGTGGCTGTGATGGAAACCAGCTCCATTCACCCTCCAGTCTGCACTGCTGTCGCACTGTTAAAACAAATACAGAGAACACACAGGCAAGTTTACTTTCTGCTCGTATGCGGCAATATAAATTCACAAACAAACGATACAGATACCATCTTCTCCACTGAGAGCCGAGATAACAGCCACAATAACCCACATTATAAAGGAACAGAGAAAATTTGAGGGGATGAAAGTGGTGGTGTTGGGTGTGTTTGTTTCCACCCGTTTCTAGTCTAAGCTAAGCTAACCAGCTGCTGTAGCTCCATATTTAATGGACAGATGCAAAAGTCCTATCGATTTCCTCATCTGTCGGAAAGAAAGCGAATTTCTCAAAAATGTAAAACTATTCCTCAGTCTGTTTTGCTGTTATCGTGTTATCAGTGCTCTATTGAACTAAATGATGTAGGTGATCTACTGTTATACACGGAACAATTACACAATGATGGTATCAGTGGTGAAAACATTTGTCATTTAATTCAGTAGTGGACTGTCAAAAAACAAAAAAACAAAAAGACATTTGATAATTGATTATAAATTCAGTAATTTATCCAGCAAAAGTGCCCAAAACATTTTAGGTTCCCAGCTTCTTAAAAGTGAGGATTTACTGCTTTTCTCCATTTTACTTCACTGTAAATTAAACATATTTTTCTTTTGGACAAACCAACCAATTTGAGGACGTCACCTCTGACATTTTATTGACAATTCATCAGTTAATCAAATAATCATCATAATATTTATCCGTGTTGAAAACGACTGTTAGTTTAAGCCATTAAATATTATATTATATTACCATACTAGACAAAGCATCTAATTTTGTGTCACCTTGTGAACTGCTGTGGTCTGACCTAACTAGCTCTAACAAGTAGTAGTATTAGTGCACTAAAACATCTAGGAACACCAGTGAATCCCACCTCCATAAGTGGCTGAGGTAAGATATATTTGTTTTATAAGATTATTTTTCTGTAATGTTATGCCAAACTTTTCTGGACAGGACTTTGATGGCCAGAACAAAACAAAAAAAGAACGAAATATCAAAATATGACTAAAACAATCAAGTTCAGACACAGTTTTTTTTAAAACACAGCAGCACTGCCATAAGTGATGACTCTCTGGTATGCCAAAGTGTTCATTCTGAGGAATTTGCCACGTATGATCAGATCAGAGTACCTAAAGGTGGGGTTTTCCTGAAAGGTTCTGATACAAGTATCGAGTCAAATGAAGCATTTACAAATGCATGTGTACAGTAATGACTGGTGCAGCAGGAAATTTCATCAGCCCTACCTCAGTGGCGGTGAAGGTGATGATGTGCTGGACATCCCTCCAGCTGAGGCAGGGACGGACCTGCAGCATCAGGGCCACCATTCCTGCCGCCAGGGGAGCTGCAGCAGACGTGCCGGTGTGGCCCTCCGTACAGCCCGTCCCCTGTCGCATGGACCAGTCTGACGTCACCTACAGAGACAGACAGATGGGCTGAAGTTCATGTGCAAACAGTGCCAAGGTGGTAATAGCTCTTGTGAGTGGCCAAACATAAACTGCAATCAAACGGCACTTACATATTTAGCTATACATTAAGAGATGGGCAGATACAAACCCCTTATAGGGTATACCCAAAACAAATGATCTAAGTCATGAGCAAGGAGGCTCAGTCAACTAAACCAACACTTTACACAGGCACCAGTGTCACAAAACGACATATTTATTGCGGGTGGCCAGAGTTCAACAATTGAAAGCCCTGGGAAGGTTCAGCTTTAGGAAGATGAAAGGAAGTAAAAGAAGAAGAGAAAACTGTTATACCATTAAAAAAAGATTGGGAAATAAAAATGTCAATACAAAGAGAATGGTAATGCAGCATAGTTTAAAATCCTGTCAGTCAGCAGGTGACCAAAAAGGAGGTAGGAGGGGATAGATTTATAGAGAGGATTAAGTTTATGAGCAGACATGGCAAGAGAAGATGAACTCTTAATATTGTTTAATATTGTTCCATAACTTCTTCTATCATCCGTGTATGTGTAGGATCTAGTGGAACACATGCAAATCACCATATGCAAGGCCCACAACTGCAAGCAAGCCACATATGTTTTCCGGCGTACACCACCTGCTGGTGCACACATTCGTGACAGCTTGCCTGACAGAGGGACCACAGCGATGTGGGCTGTGGAATTCCCAGCCCTGTGTGTTTACATGGAGGCGGCATGTGGGCCTTTTCCAACAGCTGTTCCAGCTATGTGGAAGGTTTCAAGGGACAGCCATGTTCTTCCAGAGAAGCAGTTTATGTGGTGACCATGTACAAGCTCCAGCTATTACTTACATAATACAGTAATCTTTCATGCATCAGCACCTAGAAATGACCTCAGTCATTCAGCAGAAAAGTTTGACAGGAACGTTTTGAAAGTCAAATGCAAAAACTGTCATCAAATATTCAAAAGTGATCAGTGGATTTCTCATGATTTTCTCTCAGACTCAGAACTCTGTGATCCAATGGATTTGTGACAGCAGCTGTTCTTGGTGGACTCTAAATGGCTTCTACAGAATAATACACTAATGGGCAGTGTGTGGTAAGCACTTGGCCTGTGACTATACTGTGGTCAGTGGTGGATCAGTCTTCTCCAGAGAGAGCCCAATCCTGTCTAAGCTCTTCTCCCCCTGGCGATGACATCCCCGGTCCAAACTGTGTTCCCATGGTGACACCCACAAACAGCAGCAAATAGAGGTCAGTAGTTTTTAATGGGCCTTTACTCCTGTCATCGTCCATCATTGTTTTCAGATGAAAATAGTCTCTGCTCCTCCTGATGTGGAGCTGTTCTCTCACAACTTTTAAACAGTTGTCACCATCACTAAAATTGAAGCTTTCAGCACACTTCAGGTCCCACACAGAGCAATTTAGATGTGCTGTTTTTAATGTCATGTTGTGGAATATAGTATCTGGAGGCTTCAAGAGACAGTCCAAGCAGAAGGAGAATTCAGAGGTTTTTGCATTCGCATTGGACGGCTCAATTTTAACTGAAATCACAAAAGTCTCTCCTTAAGCTAAACCACAGCAAAGCAAACTAGCAGTGATGTGATACAGAGATACTACAGCTGATCCATGGTGAATTATGGAACAACTACATTATAGGACAGTAGGATACTATGTTGTTTCATCCTGCCACGTTAGAGCTACATGGACCCACATGGGGAAATCAAACTCTGACAGCAAGTCATGAAGGACATTACTGCAACTTATAAGTTTATCTGTTTCCTCTGGCATTCACAAAGAGCTCACGCACAGATAAGTGATCATTAATTAAGACTGCAACTGGACCTCGTGTCATAAATACTGACAGACTGGTAAAAAAGGGACAAAAGAGAGTTGAATGTTTATATTGCGTTGGCATAGTTACAGCACAACTGCTCTGTTTCACAAACTTGTTCATGAGGAAATGCTTAAATAGAGAGCAGGACACACCAACTATACACTTTTTTAAATTCATATTACCATGGTTACCAGATATTGAAAAGGCACATACTCCTAAAGATCTACTAGAGATCGCCTATTCACTATTAGCAGATCCATTTAACAGTAGTCTAGATTTTTAATTAAAGCTAAAATCACATAGCTACAGTACTAACACAAAATACTGTGGTTTGTCTGCCTAGTGTACACACCACAAACTGGTTTTCCAGTCAGACTAAGACTCTTCTTTTCAGGTGCCCTCAGTCCAGTTGCTTGGTAAGGTCTGAAAGTCTTATTCACTATGACTTGACCTACTCTAGAAAATGTTACATGATAACATCATCTATCCAAGCCTTCTTCCAGTTTAGGGTAGCTCATCACTGACTTCCTGCTCTGCTGTTGTTCCTGGTGCCACCATTCATGCATTCTTTGAGTCTAGTCATCATTTGTGTGACGTGTGTAAGTGTTTATGTGTGCACGTGTGTTCCAGTGAGACCTACAATGCTCCTCGCATGGTCCTTCCCGCTGCTGAAAGTAACAGCTAGCATGGCCGCACACTCCTCAGCATAGAAGGGCATCCTGCCTTTCTCATCGACTGCTCCTGCAACACACACACAGAAACACACAACGTGATTATTTATGTGCATATGCTCGCACCCAAAACACAAAAAAAGCATACAGATGCACACACTCACACACCCGCCAGTCTGTGTGTCTTACCGATTGTGATGGTGTAGATTGAGTTGGCGTAGCCATCATAATTACAGTTGTCGTCGAACTGACCTCCATTGCCACTGGCAACCACAAAGATGCTGCCAAAGCCTCGTCTGCCTGCAATCACCCCGTGCTGCAGTGCTGCCTGTGGAGGAGAAAAATTTCATGCCATGATAAAAAGAAGGAAGGTTATACATTATATAATCACGAACCAGAGAAAAACCAAATAAGTGAAAGCTTTTTTACTAGTCTTCTCCTCTGTATCTGATGTGTTGCAATCTGCTGCCCTCTGCAGGACAAAAAGAACACTGCACACAAACAGTCTGTCTTACCTTGCCCAGGGGATGAGGTCCATCAACAGTGTGTCCATCATCATCTGGACCCCAGCTGGAGGAAACAAGAATCTAAATCAGAATCTAAACAAGACTTTCGCAAAGGCACAGTAACATGTTGCACTAAATTACATTTAAAAAATACAGACATTAAATTGCAAATAAGGTGTCAAAGAATGATACTTTATTGTTTATAAAATCCACTTTCCTAATGGAAATACCTAACAGAACCAGAAAGAGATGTGTTTGTTACCTGCAGCTGTAGATGTCATTGACCTGGTAGTGCTTGTTGAAGGCTATGGCCTCCAGGCTGTCTGTCAGCGGGCCGTCCAGGACTCTGATACCTGATGAGAGAACAAGCATGTGTTTCACCACATATATTTAACATATATACTCTCAGCCTCTAAGTCAGAAGTTCATAACCCTAGGACCAAGTTTCTTGGTTTCTTGGACTGGCTCCGAGTTTAGAGTAGCAATGCCAAACTCAATTCTCCTGTCTGTACCTGCCACTTTGCTGCCATAGGCCACCCCCACGGCACAGAAGCTGTTGTTGGGAACGGCTGCGATCTCTCCAGCACATCGAGTCCCATGGTGGTTGTCGCTGTAGACGTCAGGGTGAGGCATGGGGTCGGGGTCATTGGAATTCAGGTCGTAACTGCCCTCTGGACTCTGGAGAGGAACACAAAATCACTGTGAGTATGTGGTTTATAGAAAAAGTAAAAGCAAGCTTCACTGATTTAATACCAAGAATAACAGATAAAATCCTAGTACTTGAAAATGCCACAATTGTTTTAATGAAAGAATGTCTCCACCTTTTGCAACATCATCGCTTTTCTGGTTCGTTTGTTAAAAAAAAACAAAAAAAAACAACAAAACCTAGTAGCTCAACTTCATTTTGAAGTTGAGAAAATGAAAACAGGTTGTACTAGAAATGTTTTGATTCTATTTAGACTAGGTGCACAACCAGCAAAACTACTTTCACAGACATCATCAAAACTAAAAATTCCCACAACATTTCCACTGAGCTCATTACTACCCCTCATCTCTCTGTTGTTCCTGCCATAAACTTTAAATTGTGTATACGGTGTGACACCTTGCATCCTGTTTAATGGGTGACATTCTCTTTAATATAGAACTTTTCTCTGTTGATGCAAGCGCACAGCTCCTTACAGTAAAGGTAGGTACAGCATTTTTTCCAGAGTGGATACTTTTACTCTGCATTGCAAGTAACTACACCTTGACTATAATGTTACTAGAATTACCACCTGGCAGTTGTATGCCTTCGCCAACCAGCCATGTTTCAGGGAATATGGCTATCTCCCCTTCCTGGCTTACAGCATTGAATAATGGCCAGATATGTTTTTGTAGAACATTATGATGTCACAGTGAAGTTGACCTTTTGGATATAAAATGTCATCACTTCATCGATTAATGCAGTGAGACATTTGTGTTAAATTGTGTATAATTAGTGTATGAATTTGTGAGTTATGGCCAAAACTGTGTTTTGTGAGGCCACCTTGACCTTTGACCACCAAAATCTAATCAGTTCACCCTTGAGTCCAAACGAATGCTTTTGACAAATGGGAAGAAACTCCCTCAAAGCATTACTGAGATATCATGTTCACGAGAATGAGACGGACATATATCGCATATCGCCTCTGGCTCTGAGGCATCAAAATCGACTGGCAGAATGATAAAAAGTAGAGAGCACAGTCTCTCTGGTGAACATCTAAACTGTTTCTTTCCTTTATGATTAGGCCTTTTATACTTTTTCAAAACAATTCAGCCATGACAGCAAAATGCAGTGGATTGATAAGCATAGATCTGATAGTGCTGACTTACATAGTTGGGCTGAATGTCCTGATGCGTATGTTCCACCCCGTCATCTACCACGACCACTGTGACTCCTCGGCCAGTTATGTTGAGCTCCCATACCCCTGTCAAGTTGATATCCATTCCCTTATTGATGTCATTATGCTGCAAGAACAAGAAAAATAAGGAAATGTTGAGGTAATGTAAAGAGGAGGAGGAGAATAGGAACAGGATTGAAAAGGGCAGGTAAAGGTAAAGTAATCTGTACTATGCTCAAGAATAATGGGTGATGGTTAGCAGTAACTACTTTTAGACCATGTCTTCACCTGTAGTTGATCAAACTGATCTACAACCATTTAAAGGCATCAGTATAGATCTGTATGTACTACCTGCAGCTTCTAGAGTGCCAGGATCATCCACAATGGTTTCTTGCAAAATAACCACACTGATGACTTTCCTTTAACTTTTTTTAAATCATGTAAACATGATTATTATGGGGAATTTAGCAATTTCCTGAGGTCATTGTAAGCACGGATTTAGTAGCAGGGGTATTATTGTCACATGTAAATGTAACCAAATCTAACTGAATGCAACCTTATCAGTTAAATAAATAAAACTGTACAACATTATGCGTGGAAAACATTGTTACCAGACTACAAATATATCAACAAATATAAATTCAATTTTCAAAAGGCAGACATCCGCCTTTGTGTCACATTTATGCTTTGCCACCAGAACCTCAGTCTCACTTGAGACAAAAATATTACTTTTCAATAGAAGCTGTCTGGGTCTTTGGCAGGTTATGCTGATCATGCTCCTGCATGTCTGGCATTGGCTGAAAAAACAGTGATAATTGGTACAATTCAAACATGTACATTCCCATTTCACCCTACCCTTAATGCCACCCATGATTCTGTGTGTAACCAAAAGGAAAGACAGTTATCACAGAAGAGATCAATGTTACATTCTCACTGAGCGGTTAAAATAGTCTTTTGTGCAAAATATCACCATTTCTTTTTATTTGTTCCTTAGTAAATGAGCATCACACCTTACATGTGTTGGTAAATGTTTGAATACCTTGGCTAGATAGTGTTTTTAGTGTGTGACTATTCTTTAACTTTGTACCTGCAAGGCACTGAGACCACAAGCAAAATGGCTCTGTGTCAAACAAATGCACACTGATTATATTGAAAATCTCTTTATTCATCTCTTAACACTAGACAAATACTGAGTGAGCAAGAGAACAAAGATACACATCCTTACCAGATGCCACTGTTTAGGGTATTGGGGATCATTGAAGGCCATCGATCTCTTTGAGCGGCTGAGCACTTTCTCCTGGGAGTACCACAGGACATGAGGGTGGGCTGCCAGGACATCCCCAGGCTGGACACTTTTTCTATCTCCCACAGATCCAGCATTGGGATTTACAGAGCACAGCAAGTAATGTCCTTCCAGCTGTCCAATCTGGCCCTGGTTCTGAAGCCCAGCCTGCTCTGCTACCTGGGATGGAGAGAATACTGATGAATAATACAAATAAAAAACTGAAAAAAATACTTCTAAGGGCTTATGTGTTTTTCCCCCAAACCAAGGCAACTTCAATAGAAATCAGATGAGACATGTTGCAGTTGTTGCAGAAAACTGCATATAAACATAGTGCATAAAGCTAAAGCTTACACTATATTTAAAAGCTACAGCTGTGTTAGTAAGGAAAGAATCTCCTTTTAAAAATAACTAAAAGCTGTGTTTTTAAAAACATCTGTAAAAACTAGAATTATGCAGTAAGAAACAAGGCAATACCAAATGCACTTTTCCAACAAACCACAGTCTCACAGTCAGTACTGATTACATAAACATTGAAGCCCTAAGTTTTATTTTGAAAATGTCAGAAGAAAGGAATTAGTCCCAGAGCTTTGTTAAAATAGGTGACACCCTATATAAAGATAAAAATATAAGCGTTAATGTAGTACTGTACCCTATTGGCTATAATATCCAAGAGAACAGAGCGCTGTACACCATCTTCCTCCTCATGATGCGGGCCAGCATGGAGCTGTACAGCCCAGGACTGACCTGGTCCGCATGAACGTGGCGGCCAAGGTGAGGGAGGAGAGGAGGAACGAAAGGGAATCGATGGGACAACAGAGGGCAGGAGGGTCACCAGCAAGAGGGTGAAGGAGGACAGAAAGAGGAGGAGGAGGAATGTGGGAAAATAGGACGTTGCCATAGCAACAGGGGGTGACACACAGGGTCAACCAGGCAGGTCCTCTTCATCTGAACAGCAACCTGGACGTGAGACAACGACAGGGAGAAAAGAAGGTCTTGTTAGTAGTGAGGACAATCTGAGAACGAGTGGCTGGTTGCTTATCAATGGTGTGCTGTATTCAGAAGCCACTTATTAGATTCACAGCATCACACTAACTAGATGCCAGTTCAGAGAGCTATGGCAACAGCACACTTGATTAACCACTGTGTTTAAATCAAAGTTCTACAACTTGACTACTGTAAAGTTGCTTTTCCATATGAATGCTTCTCTGTTAGCACTGGCAGGATAGAAAGATAAATAACAGAACATAAACAAATACCTCCTATTTGAACTGAAACATTGTTTTGACATGAAAAGATGGAAAAACTTTCACGTAGTACACTTCAGCTGCATTAGCCAATGCAAAATAAACACAATGAAACTGTAATTAATAAAAAAACATGTCTGGTTTAACCTGTTTGGTGGTGTATGTATCCTGTCACTCCCAAGCCTCATGCTCACAGCAGATTATACATGCCAGATTCATATTTTTTCAGACACCCAGAAACCAACCTGTACACCTGTTGTGGAAAACTACCTGGCCCCAGGTTTTGTGTAGGGTAATGTAATAGAACAAAGATTTATCTTGGGACATGCCACATGTAAATCTGAGGGTCCCCAATTCAGTTGCCCTCTCTGGCCAGTTGGGAATCCAGCTTTGATCACATGTAGTACTAGGTGTGAGATAGACACTCTTTTGGGGAACTATATTATGTGGAATTCAAGTGTATGTAAACACATGAATCTGACTCCAGTCAGCAAGATTACTAGGTCATCAATATGTCACCACTCAGCCACACCCAAAGCCAATAGCTAAAATTAAACATCAGACTTGAGGTAGTGACCTGTTGAAGAAATCATCTTCATTTCCATAGAAACATGGTAAATTGTGTTATCAAAACAACGCCATAACATAAAACAACTCGTTCACTTCGTAAATATTGCTGCGTTGTTGCCGAATATCTGTCTTTGAACACATTTTAAGGAATATGTAACATGTCCATTTCAGACACAGATAACGTTAGATGAAGTGTTATCAACACATCCCCTTTCAAACATATGAATAACGTCAACGTTAGAAACAAACACCGCTCAGACACTATTGACATGCAGCTGCATATGTTCAGCGACACGCGGTGAACCCACTTCGTGTGTGCTAGACTAGAATTTGTTATCTTTACTCCGATCAAACGCGTTAGCTTTCTGGCCAGCTAATGTTAGCTAACTCTCAGTTCTGCTGATTGCTAAGTTTTTATCTAACGTTAGCCAGTATGTCGGCTAGCAACTTGGGCAGCTAGCTTAGGGTAGTCATTTAATGAGCTGCGAGTGTGAAACTGGAATACAGCCACGATCAAATTAATAAACCAGTATAAACTAAAAACAACGGGGAAAAAAACCGAAGTGGAACTCGAGTTTCACCTGAAGCGTTGTTGTTGTCATAGCTAGTAAAATAGCAAGTCTCCTGACGCTAACTATGGAGATTGCTGGTCTCATGAGAAATACGATGGTACGAATCAATACCCATGATGATTTATAGCGATAATACAGTTATATCTTACCTTTCAACTGAATTCTTTCTCCTCACCTGTTCCTTGTGACATTTATGAGTAATGTTAAGCTTGTCATCTCATTTCCCAACAACCACAAACCACAACCCCACACGTTCTACGTCACACAGTTGTTGCACATGCTCAGTGTTTGGTACAGAGGTGTAACCCAATCAGTAGCGACGTGTATATAAGCCCCACCCCCGGCATTTCAAAAGCAAGAAAAAATTACAGAATAAACAAAGGGGGCAGGATATCACAACACGGTTGAACCACTGTGCTAGAGTAGAGTTCACAGACTTAATGTTTAGATGACAAAATCTGCATTTAAATCCAGACCAATAATATGTGCTGCTCTACCTGAGCAGTCATATCAACAACAAGACCAAGTAAATATCTTCAATATTCTTAATTGAATATTAGGCCAACAGAAGAACATTTACTCTACATTTCTTTACGGAATAGCATCATAGGATAAACCACATGGACATGTACTGTAATATTATCTTACAGTATTTTATTTGATCTACTCCTAATCACTCTGTTCTCATGTCCTCTTCTTTTCTTCTTCTTTCTCTCTCTCAGCTCCACTCATCTATTTCTGGAAATGTGAACCACTCAAAGAAAACATAAAACAAAACGAAATCAAAAAAAAAAAAATTTTGATCCTATTTTGTGCATTTTTTTCAAACATTTCAGGGATTTAAAGTAGTTGGCAAAGTTATGCATATACACATATGAAGGCATATGAACATTTAAATTGTCAATATTGGCCTCTTAACAAAAGAAAGTTACTAAAGTTGACCAGCCCACCAAATAGGTTTGCCAATATAAAGAAGGAAAAAAAAGTAAACAACAGTAGTAGTAGTAGTAGGAGGAGATAAAACAACCTTTGGCAAGATTAGTTTTAGAATAACTCAAAAGCAGAAACATGATAAGAAGCAAACTTAAAAAAAAGTTTGAGTTTAGTTTGAGTACCAGAATAATTTCTCAGTATTACATGAAATTTGTGAGAGAAGACACTGTATCCTTGTATATTTTATGTGCAAATTTAAATATACAAGTGTGTGATTTAATATTAGTGGGTAATGTTTTGTGCCAAGAAATGAAAATCACATTTTACAGTTACAATAAGTACTTTATTGGTTCAACAGTGCTGCCAGCGCCTGACAGATAAATATACAGTTCTGAGTTTATCTATTTACAGCTTGCTGAGAGACGATACAAACTGTCCCTTGTTGACATACATAGTGTTCTTTAGTGTATAACATACTTTGGGCTGGTTTCCTTGTCCAAGCTTATATGGTCCCCATTGAAATATGTGGTAAGTTAGGCTGTTTCTGTGTCTGTGAAAGAAGCCCTATTAAGTCTTGGTTTGTTAACATGTAATGTGCTGTCACATGTGCAAATCTTCAGATGGTGCAGCAGTAGGATAAGCAATGTGTATTATTTGTGTGTGTGTGTGTGTGTGTGTGTGTGTGTGTGTGTGTGCATGTGTGTGTGCGTGTGTGCGTATGTGTTGTGTGCCTTTGCAAAAAGATCTGGATTGCACACATTTCCTGTACAATGGATTTATGTTATCAATATAAGAAGAAAAAGTGACATCTGATATTGACTGTGTTCAGAAGTCTCAGTCTCACACTAAGCAAAACTGACTTTTTACTGTAAATGCTGTTACAATCTGATATTTCATCAAATTAGCCTCTTTTTGCTTGATTTGCATTGCAGATTTTTTTTTTTGCTGGCATTTGCCAAACAGTGTAATTTTGTAGATGCTACTATCATGTTTCATCTTCATAAGTATCATTTTCATTAAGTCTTTCGGTATACTCTTCACTTACAGTACAGCTGTGCACACATACAGGCATGCTCACACATATCAACTTGTTTCATTCACTCACAAGCCACAAACAATAGGTCTATAAACGCACGCATGTAACCACACGCTCATATGTTCAAATCATACCATAGCAAAACACATCCGACAACATGATGGTTTCACATCTTGTCCTCACATCCTAATTTAGTGTTTGCTCTTGAAATTTTCCTCAAATCCCAAATCACTCTGGAGTCTGTCGGTAATATTAAGAGACAAATCTTTCAAAATTCCAAATCCAGTCCTTCTCTGTTGTCTATTTATACACTATTTATAGTAAAGACATGATTTTGTGTTTCATATTTGACTTTATTTTCCAACTTCTGTTCCTCTAACCATGCTGATCTGCATAGGTAGCGTAAACCGACGAAGTTGACGCTGATGACATCCTTGTTTGTCCTTCAGGTTAGCAATGGCTCTAGTTATCCTCACATGCCGGAAGTCAGCATTTTCTATACTGTATATATTGTATTCCTGAAAAACCATTTCAAAGCTCTCCTTCAACAGCACCAACATTTTGTAACGTAATACAGTACACCCCGTTTACCACAGTCCATATCTGTCCTGTGTTTCAACTGTGGGTCTCTATGACCCTTGTTTTCCCCTCTTCACTTTAGGAGCGATATGTCGTCAGCGAAGTCCCCGTGTGGATGGAGGCAGCGGGCGAAGCGCCACTGGCACACCATGAGACACAGCGGCAGCATGAAGAGAGCGCAGATTCCCGCCATGATGTAGGCGATGGTCATAAGGGTGGACTCGTCCGTCTGGGGGATGTTGTAGCCGCAGTCCTCCAGGTCAACGCCGTGGAATGGGCCCTCTACAGAGGCTGTGCGAAACTCATCATGCACTAGGAAAGTGGGATTGGGATTATAGGTAATTTAGAAACACACACCTCAGGAAAACAGATACTATTACTGTACATAAGTTGTAAATTAGATACCCTCAACACTTGTCCTGCATTATCTACTTCATATTTTCTTGCCTTTTTATGTTAGTATTCATATTCCTTTTATTACACTATAAACTTTATTCACTCTATCTCCCCCATCCCCTCTCCTCCTCATCCCCCCTTCTCGTCCTCCTCACCATGGCAGGTGCTAACAGCAAAGCCGATTCGTTTCTTCTCACGGTCAAAGACCACGTAGAAGCCTTCCATGATGACGGCCCCCATCACTGTGCCGGTGCTAGACTGGGATACAGCAAACTTATAGCAGTCCTCCTGGGCTGAAGCCACATCCTCTACTGGCCGCAGATATTGCTACACAGAAACAGAAAGAGAGAAAGATCACCCTAATGTAGTACCGAGAATACCAGCTTTCATTCTGAGTCCTTAGCCACTGCTATATTATGATTATCAAATTTTATGTGGATTTAGCATAAGACACACGAAAGGTACACATTAAGTTATACAAATTTTTCCTGTTTCCTTAACATATTTTACATGTTCTTATGTAGAATTCATACACTCATAGAAGAAAATATTCTGGGTTTTACCGGGGATTTTCTGTTTTGATGATTTTGCTATGTGTGTATATATGAAGCTAAATCACTGTATCCCCTCTGTTCATTCTGGACTTTCCCCTGATGAATCACAGGCAGCATTTATGCAAAAGACACCTTGTGAAACACTTGCTTGGCCACAAGGGACAGTTAACTTCCTCATTTGGACATTGTCTTTCTGTGGGCTCATTTGTGTGTTGATTATGAGCTGATTTGAGCTCATCATGGACATATCTGTATCAGTAATATATATCAGTCAAAACAGTCCAGTATTACCCAAAATTTGCTCAGAGATCATTTATAAATTGTGTCACCATTGCATAATTTGTCCACCAGAGAGCGCTGATGAGTTTATTTTTCAACTGTAAAATGTCCTCAGCACTTTTTTGTTTTCTTTCTCACCGAATTTAAGGGGATCCTTGTCAATGTTTTCACGTTAAAATAAACATGAAATCAACACTGACAAACATATCAACTCAAACTCATAAATCCAGTAGCTCTAGTACATCATTGCATTTCTCTGTATGTCTTCAAGTCCTATGAATACAGTGCGTGAATTCTGTGTACATTGTAAATGTCCTGGTTTACTGTCAGTGTGTACCTGCTACAGAGACTGGTATATGAGACAAGAACACACAGAAAACAAAAACTTTTCTCGAGCCATCAGCATCAAGGTCATAAGCCTTCCACAGGTTTATGGAACTGAGCCGCGCTTCTACATCTCACTGTCAAATCTCATTCATTACACCACCACCAAGACTTTTGTTAGTGGCTTTGAATAAGAAAATGTTTCATGACTTTTCAGAGCTTCATGAAAGTTTAGAGAATATATCCAAAGGTAATTCTCTTTGAAATGTGGTGATTTCTTTTTCATCATGGTACCAAGCCAGCCTTTCTTCTATTGAGGACTATATAAAAGAGTGTGTCTGAAGGATAGGACAACTATGTGTAGGAGTGCACACAGAAATAAAAAATCTGCATTACAAGTCGTCAATGAAATCACCCAAGACTTCAGACTTACAAATGAAGTACTTGATGTACCTTGTGTCTCCTAACAGTGTTTAACGGTGTTACCAGCTTAAGGGACATTACTTCATATGGTCCCATATGACAAACACTATCACAAAGTCAAACGCAGGCATGAAAAAATTTGTGAACTCCTGTTTCATGCGACCAGTATGACATAGTGGTTATTACCTGCGGTAGGATGGAGATTCTGAAGGACTGGTTGCGGTTTTCACTCATCAGGTAGAGGGAGATGACTGGGAAGATGTGCCAGGGTGTGGTGCCGGCCTGCCAACATACCAGTTGCTCCCCAAGCCAGAACCCAGAGGGAAACTGTTCAGTCTGAAAGACAGGGTCAGGAGGACAATGATTCTTTCCTTTCCCAGGGTCACGAGGGGAGGCTGGATCTTTTAATTCTGAATCAATTCACTGATTCCAAAATTGATTAATAACTTTATGCTGACAGAGAGAAAAAAGGTATTTATGGTGTAGTAGGGACTGACCGAAGAGGCTGCCTCAATGGCCTTGACTGCAGCCTGGAAGACTTTCCTAGGCAGCCGAAGGTTGGTGGTGCCACTGTCCACAATACTCTTATCATAGTTGTACTGTAAAAGACAGAGAAACAGCCACACATTACAACTCTCTCGAATAACCTGTTGGATCAGTGACTGACCATAAAATTATTCTTGTCTGTCAGATCTCACCTCCTTACAGTCCATGTTGAGGTCCTGTCCATTAACCTCAATACGCACAATAATGACTTCATAGTACCATTCCCTGCGGATGGGAGTGTACCAAAGCTCTCCTACGTACAGTGACATGTCCACTCCTCCAATGATCTGAGAGCACAGGGAAAAATAGAATCCAACACTGGCTTCAAATATGATACTGGATGCTGTGTGTGTGTGTGTGTGTGTGTGTGTGTGTGTGTGTGTGTGTGGCTCACCATGCTGCCGCCAACAGTAGCGCTGCCCAGGGAGTAGTTCTGGGTGAAGCCGGCTCCACACAGCTGGAGAGAGAAGAGGTTGGGGACAGGAGTCTGACGAACCAGAGAGTCGAAGAAAGGCTCGTATGTCTCGTCAGGCTGGAGAGAGAGAGAGAGAGAGGGAGAGAGAGGAGAGAGAGAAGGAAAGGTAGGATTGCTTTACTTCTGAATTGCTAAACCCATCTGCTGTTTTTAGCCATCAGCTTTAAATTTCTAAAAGATTAAAAAAACCTCATCCTCTTCTAAAATATGCTTATTATTTCACCCATCAGTTTAAATATTACTTTTTACTTATACTATTTATAATGTACTTTAACTACTTATTACTTTCCTCAAAGTAAATACTGTAGTAAATAACTCGTAATTTCAACAATAATTAAAAGATTTTAGTTACAAAAATAAAGTGTTAACGTTTCTTATCAAACCCTCCAGATGTCAGGTTGAACTTGAATTACTCAAGAACTATATCCCTACATCCATCCCCAGATCCAGTGTCGTCACAGTATCATCCTCTTACACCAGATTAGGAATTCAGAAAGCGAGGAAAAGGGGAAAAAGTTTATCTGGGAGTAAAAGACTCTCACTAGCCTTTTAATAGCGAGGTCAGTGCTCACAAGACTACACTGGACATCTACCCTACTTTGGTTTCTTGATCATTAACAGAAGTAATAAACATCATCTTGGAAAGCACGCTAAAATATTCTAACTGCCATTCTTGGGGATGAGGATTAACACTAATCCCCACAATTCCATTTTCCATCAGCAGTTGACAGTTTAATGAACTGCTCTTGCTCTTTTGGACAACAGTTAAACACTGATGTAAAGTGTTGATATGAAGCTCTCTGTCTCCTCTCCTCTCACCCCCAGGTTGTTCGTCATATGCTGTCAAATTTTATTTCACAACACGTTACTGTAAGTACTTCAAGTATATTCAGTGTAAGACTAAAGTTGTAAAACAAGGTGAAATGTAAAGTAAAAACACACCCTATTCTATCAGTTTATACTTGAGATTACAACAGAGAAGAGCATGATCTCTGGGTTCTGACATCTCATGATTTTCCAACTGAAGTGAGAGTGTGTAAAAGTGCAATAACAACGATGATAGAAATGATAATTTATTAGCAGATCTTTTCAGATTTTAAAAGCACCACGTGATGCTCTGCTCTCACCCGGGCTATATCAGCGTAGGCCAGTCCCAGGATTCCCTCCCAGTTGGATCCATTGATGAAGAAGCGATCTGACTGGGTGATTGCAGCGATGTTGGCACGCAGCGTGGCGTTGGGGCCGTGTGGAACAGAGACCAGGTCGGTGCCCAGCTCCCCTTCCCAGCGACCCTGGGTGTAAGGAACGTAAACGCTCCTACCGAGGTCACGGTACGAGCTGGAGCTGTGAATGGATGGTGAGACAACAGAGAGGGAGAAAACAGAGGTGGAGAAAGAAGAATATTCAGATTCGTAGTTGTGGTATTAAAGTAATAAAAAAAAAGAAAAAGAAAAAAAAGAAAAAAAAAAGAATTATTTCAGTTTTTTTTAAAGAAAAGTCAAAGTGAAACATGAATCCTTTTATTTTTTTAGAACCAAATGTGGCTGTATATTTTTGCATGCATCTCTACTCACAGTGAACGATGGTAGTATCTGCGTAGAAAGGGATGAGCAGCCGCTCCGACAGCAAAGTTACTGCTTCCTGTATCCACCAGGATGTTCAACTAATGAGACAGAGCGAGAACAAGAGAGAGAGACAGAGTTCAATTTATCAAATATGTGTCTGCGTGCTTTTTGCAGAAATCAATAGGTTTGTAAAACTGACGCTTGGATTCCATTGTGAAATTGATTATGTTCACTGAAAGGCAAGTTAAATCTGTAATTCTGCTACCTTGGAGACTAACATGTCCATTTGTAAAACAAATTTCTGTGGGGGCACAGATGTCTAAATTGATAGTTTTACTTTTTTTATACTTACAGGATATTTTTTTGAATGCAGTCTCAGTTACAGCAAGTAGTTTGTTTCTCATCTCTCAGTCCTTCTCTACATCTATTTCTCCTTCCTTGTAGTGTCCTGTGCTGTTTCCTGTTGCCCTAAATGTCCTTCAGTGTCCCCCCTCTGTCTCTTCTCTAACCCTCCACTCTTCTCGGGTTGCCCAGTCCACTCTCCCTCTCTCCCATCTCCTCCTCTTCTGTCTGCATCTCTATGTGACTATCAAATTTTGCACATTCAGTCAAAAACAGTCAGTGAATGTGTGAATGGAGCACAATGACAGACAGCAACAAAGACAGAAATACACAATACTTACACTTCATACTTTATAGATATATATCTATCTTTATGTCTTATGTCTCATGTAACATTTACAATTTCTATTTCTTGTTCTACTGCTGTTTTAATGCACACTATGCATTAACATGTTAGCAAAACTCTTCCTATGGTTCTGGGTAGCAGTATCCTAAGGCTGTGGTTATAGTTTATAGTTAAAGATTCCTGATCACAGTTCAAAGGATGACCAACACATTGGCAGAGATAATAGACAGACACTAGATAGACAGATCAGACAGACTGGCAGAAACACCCAAACAGATGAAGAGACAGGCAGCCATAGAGCCACAGCAAGCTGTTCAATAATGGATTGGCTCTTTAAATATCCACTAAAGTGCTACTGTCTCAGGGGCTGGGCCTGAAATCCCAGAATAATAAATACTGACTCCTGTCCACATCACGTTTACCTCACACATGCCTGTAGATACAGTCCCTACAAATGCCACTGCTGTCAGAGATAATGCTGGACACACTGTGATTTCCTCTCTTAGGCAGAATTTTGCTGACTGCACATGACAAATATGTTTTGTTTTTTCAGACACATACTGAGTCACCTGGCCCTGGACAAAGTAATGCACATGACCACACACACACACACACACACACACGCACACACACACACACACACACACATACACACACACGCACACACACACACACACGCACACACCCACACAAACACATAAGGCTGCATCCTGACACAATGAAACCTCATGTCTTTCCCTCCCCTCTCTGTCTGTCTTCCTGTCCTCCCTGGCAGAGTGCCTTTCTGCTCCAGCCATTATATTTGCCCTTCCCCCTCCACTATGAAGGAGAAATCATCTAGTGGTTACCAGAACAGAACGCAACACAAGTGAAAGTTACTGTAAATGACTTGAGGCCATTTCCACAATTTTGCATCTACCATGCATCTCCAATAAAATGCAAGGCCTTGTATCACTTATTAAATTCATTAAAGTTCTTGAGACCCCGTCATTTGGCTCTTGCTGAGACACTGAACCACACAGTACTTTCACCTAATGCAACTCTCAATCTATTTTATGAAGAAGATTGATACATTTATTTATTTATGTAAAGCTTTATTTAACTGAATGCAGAGGCTTTTAAAGGCTTAAACACATTTAGGTAATTTGATTCAAGATATCTTGAGACTTATTAAGGGCCTGCAAACAGCCTATTAGTTTGTTGTTAGGGATATGATTATCCTGGCTAGTAAATTTATCGAATGAGATTGTCACTGATCCCAGAGCAGGACTTTTGTGCTTGGTGAATATACACAAGCCTGGAGCCTGATGTACATGAGGTCATGTTTCCCTGAAGTCCCTGAAGATCAGTGCGCTTGGTATTACAAGGTAAAAGGGTGTGGCTTCCAAGACATCCTTGTAAATTCCAGGATAAATTAGAAATCTATACACTCTTTCATATGGTCTAATTTTATAGTCTAATTTCTCCTGAAATTAAACCCCTCTCTTGGGGCTCTATGTGAACGCACAATTTTTTATTTTTTTCAAAGTCAGAACAGTTTGGTTATTCCACATAAGATATTACTGTATTTTTCTCATGGTTTTGAAGAGCTCCGGGCTCAGGTGGGAAAAGGTGATGTGACATGCTGTACATCCATGCATGAATGACGATTGAGCAATATATAAATGAAAATGTCATCCACATGGGCCCAATAAAGCAGATTAGCTTTTTGACTGTTGAACTCTTCCATAGGATGATTTTTTTTTGTCTGAACTTAGACTCTGATTGTTGGTTAATAGTCATGAATATTTTGTTTTGGAGAAATGCCTAAGACTTGAAAGTTTTCAAAAGCTTTACATACGCTCTAAGACATGAGAACTGTTTTCACTTAATTTTGCAGAAATTTTTTGCAGAAATGGCGGAATGGATGTTTTGATTTCATAGGTTTTAATCTCTGGCGTTTTTGTTATTCATTAAATTCTATTGGGTTGGGAATACTTTGCTATTGTGAATAAAATCCTGGATTTACTTTGATGTAAGCTCCATCATGGTAGTGAACTAAAATAATGTGATGTAGTCACCTGGTTCTTAAACTTAATTGAACTTTTTGATTGTCTTTGAGTCAGAGGCTCCAAAGGTCATGATTAAAGGTCATGTGACACACTCTTGCCCATTAAGTCCTTATGACATACACATCCGTTAAAAAAAAAAGACTTCTGAGAACCACACAGTTTTAAACAAGACTCTCTTAGTATCACAATTTGAAACATTAGGGCAGACATGCAGTATGTTCAGGTATCCAGCAGTCCACTAGGTTAGGATCATGCATTATAGGGGAATGGAAGCAGAAAGTGTTGTAAACATTTTTGGGGTGTGCATTGGGGGAGCAACTTCCAGTGGAATAAAAAGGCCCTTATGTTTGGATATCTCATCATTTAATGTTTATGTTTGGGATCCTTGTCCTGGCCATAGTAGGGCTATTGTTTTGGTACTGACCAAAATGTGTCCGTGGCCCTGAGCTCCACAAGTATCAAAAGATGATGTTAAATACTCTTTGATCTTTTGTTCAAATCACAATTTTTGACAATTTTAGACTGCATTTTATTTAGGATGAGGTCCTGTACAGCTGCTTGTGTTTTGGCACCATTTAACGTTTGAGAACTTGAGAACTTTGGCTTTGTGTGTTGTGGGAAAACATTTCTCAAAGAAAGCATCAAATATCAGCATCAAAACTTTTGTATCATATCGGCACAAGAATTGAATGAAACATTAAATTTGAAACGATGCCCAGGCCTCCAGGAATGATGGCTGACGACTTGTTGACGGACATTCACTTTAGCCACCAAAACAATGTGTTGACTGTCTTTGCTGATTGGCCTCAACTGACTGATCATCACTGTGGTGCCCCTACCAGGCAGATCTCTCCCTCTCTCTTTCTATCTCTGTCCTTGATATAGGAAGCATCAGTGTCTCTCAGCGGCAGAGTGACACCTCCACTTAGCACCTCAGAGCCCTCCATCACATTCACCATCTCTCTACAGTCTTTCCTTTGGTTTCCTAAAAGCCCCTAGCCTAATCTCACTCCCACATCCTCCCTCAAACACACTTGGTTTCTCTCTTCCTCTCTCAAACTCCCCGTCTCACACACTTTCTTCTCTCATACTTTCTCTTTCTTCCCTTGCTCTAATCCACTCCTGGTTCCTCTCCCATCCCTCTCTCCTGCCATTCATCCATTTCTCTGTTTCACTTCATCTGTCACCTTTGTCCTCTCCTTCTTCTCCTCTTCTACTACCTCATCACTTTCTCTCTCCCTCTATCCGTCGTCCTCTGTGTGCCAGCCTGTACACCACAGCTGCACCCAGCTGGCACTCCTCACTCCACAGAATTAATGGTTCCATTATCTGTCTGTATCATTCAGTCCTTTCTCTCACTTTCACTCACACACACACACACACACACACACACACACACACACACACACACACACACAGGCCATCTGTCACTGCACAACCATCAACAGTATTGGACAATCCGCCAGTATATTTTAAGTACTTTTCTGCCACCTTTAATTTGAAATTCCCTGTTTAAATCTTATATTAGACACATTAAAGTAGGACGCATACTGCTGTATGTTAGCAAAGTGTGTTATAAGTTTATAGTGATATCACTTCTCATCGAGTTGTATAGTGTCTTCTATACTAGGATTATTAACATTGCAATAGGCCCTTAAGACTGTATCTGTGGTACTTGATGATGAGTTGAATTTACTTGTTATTGCTTTTGTAGTGTTATAACCTGTTGTGTAGCTGGGCAAAATATGTGATACACACACAGATGCACAGCTACAATGTTGAAGTTGTAGTCCAATTAATGCAAAATTGTATGTCTTTAATATTAATGCTCTGGCAATATTGTTTTTTTAATGATCAATAAAGAACACTGGATTGAAGAGAGAGACAGGGACGAGGAGAGGAACTTGCATTTCCAAAGAGAGAAAGACTCTGTACAGTGTATTAAAGAATAATAGGCTACTGACCAGCCCCACTGCATGCCATCCTTAAAGAAAAGATGATTGATTTTTTTTTTTATTGTACCTGGTTTTAATTCGTTTGACTTTGTTACGTTAGGTCTATTGTACAGAATGATTACACTTGTTCATTCAGGGGTGCTTTGACAGCATACCACGTCATGTAGATAAAGCCTTTACCTTCTGCGGAGGAGAGCCCACGGCCATCTCCACGTAGTATCCCTGTCCGGACTTCCCACGCAGGTTATCAATCATGTCCACGAAGCTGATCCCGCCCGGTGCCGCTCCTCTCCGCCTGCGCGCCGGATACCTCCCCGTGTTGCCCCGCGAGGCAGCAGCCTCGGCCGCTGCAGGTGGTAACGACGGTGACTGTTCAGCGCGAGCGCCTTGCCGCAGTGGCACGCGGATGGCTAGAGGCAGGCCCGAGGCGTCCGGCGCGGATTGACCGCTGCCGAGCCAACACAAAGTCGTCCATATAAAGAGACTTGTCAGCCGGAGAGGCTGTAACGTCGACGCCTCCATGTTGAAACACGGTAAAGTTGTATTTTTGGTATGTTTGGTTTTGACCTCACGGAGCTCCGTTCAGTTTGACATCAAACCTGCAGCGGCAGAGCAGGGGAGATCAGGTGGCAATGATGCTAAAATGACGGCTAAAAACATGTTAGCAGTTGAACCGCAAATATGAAGAGATACGAGGTCACTGTGTTTTTACTCCGGTTGTCTTGACGTTAACTTGTTGAGAAGACAACACGACAAAGTAACATGTAAATTCAACATAGGCTACGCTGGAAACCACCCCTTACAGCTAAGCCATGCAACCCTCGGTGTCACAGATAATTTGCGGCGACGCGTAAATTACAGGCTGTCCCTGCGTGCGTTCGCCGTGTATGATCAAACCGCAGGCCTGTGTCGTTTTCTCCACACATCCTTATGTCAAACGACCGAAACCATCGTCGGTAGTCAGGCTACCATAATCCGCATCCTTCCCCCTTCCCGACCCGTTCATTCTGTTCTCAACCTTCCAGTCTTTCACCTCCTCCTCCTCCTCCATCCACCCCGCTGCATCCCTCAGAGCTGCGAGAGCGCAAGCATCACCACCGTCAAGTTAAAACCACACGACTTCCTGTAAGCATTTTCAAAATAAAACAGTATTAAACTCCTCACTGAAACACCATAGCAACCCATTTAGAGGGAACCGTTTGAAGGCCAATTATCCCTTCGTGAAATCCATACTTTACCTCATATTGGTATGTACTACAAAAGACTGCATTAGATTAGGAAATAGAAAAATCATTCATTTTTTAAATCCCAAACTAACATGAAAACTCATTCATATCAAGGTAGCGTATACCAGACCACTTATTCCACATTGATGTCTAATGAAACGACTCCAGTAGTGACAGATTTGTAGTAAAAGTTCATGTTATAACGAACTGGAATACCCCCTTTAAAAAGTTTTATTGGCACTGCTTTGGGATTAATGCACACCAATACCATAGGCCTGTTTTAAATGATAATAATCATAATCATGATAATAATAGTAATTTTTAAACTAGTTTGTGATTTTGTTGTAATCAAATTGCATCCTATATGTCACATATTATTATGTAGAATTATTTTCTAAAGGAAACACTTGAGTTTGGTCTTTTAGTTTTATGGCAATATGAGTTATGTCTTGGCTCTCTTGCCACTTCTTCAGGAAATAATCATGGGATACTAAACATTCCTGGTAAATAAGTTTCCCCCATGATTCAGAGGGTTTCTAAACGGTTAATATAGCCTAAATCTAAGGGAAAAATATCTGCGACCAAAATTTCAGAATGTCATTTTATTATTTCAGACAAAAAACAAATACATTGCTGTTGGACAAATGTAATAAGGACAAAGTGCAACTTGTCTATGGCTATATTTTTTTCTATACTATTGTATTGTTTCTATAATGTGCAGTGCTTAACTACTGTGACTCTGTGGTGCTCTTATTGTATGTTCTGATATTATTTATAGCGCATCACTGCAGTACATTTAGACTAATTGGTCCTGATGGAACACTTGTACAGGGTTCTTATGAATTAGGGTTAGGTTTAACACACAAGCTGCATGATATTAAATGAGGTCAAATTTAAGTCAAAGCTCAGTCTTGTTGCTTTTCTTTCCTTATGGCAGGTTGTCTCTGTCTTGAGATGATCCCGCACAGTCCCAGTAGGAGGCGAGAGGGAAGAAGGAAGCAGGTGCTAATAAGCTGTCCCCATCTCTCCTCTCCACGGTGAGTCCGACAGAGTCTTTACAGGGGTGGAACACACCACACTGCTCCACCAGCAATGGGGCTGGGTCCTCCTGTCCTGAGAATGTAGGAGAAAATGGTATAACTGATCAGCATTTAGTTCAAATTTCTTGTGTCCTCTGTCTATTGAACAATTAGCCCACTGCTAACTCAGATAATCAGATTCTCCCCATTAATCCATCCAGTCACTACACTGTCAAAAGCACTGCTTGATAACAAACTAATGTATTTCGCTGGATAAAGGGCATTGACCCGTGTTTGAGAATCTTTTCTTTAACGCTGCCTCTTGTATATGAATCATCTGGTCAGCAAATAGATCAATAAGATGTGGAAAATTGTTCACCAATAGAAGAATTATATCCCAAAACTAATTAAAATGTCAACCTTAAACAAGCCCTGTGTGGAAATTGTGGATGTAAATGAAAATGATTGAAAGTGACATTAAAAAACTCTGTTTACTGACCATGATTAATTATGTTGAGTTGATGCAACGAAACATACTGTATACTATGTATACTAGAGAGACTCACTGGCTGAAGTCTTTGAGCCCCAGCTTCTCTGCTCTCCAGGTTTGGTGGTGAGGGGCTCTGTTCTGCCCTCTTGTGGACACCACACTGCCAGGGGCCTGGAATTACCCACCCTAAACGTACACACACACAAACACACACAAACACACACACACATGCACACACATACACACACACATCCATCATTGACCAATGGTAACAACCCTAACCTAAACCCTAACACCATGTCTTACCCTTCAAACAGCCATTAACAATACTTTATAACAAAACTTCTGGAGTCCAGCATTTTGATTCCCACAAAACTGTTGGACCCCACAAGTAAAGTGGGCTTATGCAAAGCCCAATAACTCACTATACTCACATCCCTCACAGTTTACTATAAATGGCTTGCCATGTGTGAAGCTCCTTAGCATACAAAGGTCAAAGATTAGCTATCACTGAGACTGCTGCCTTATCATTTTTTACCAGCTGATAACAGTAATAAAGATACACTGTGATCTAGTTATGATTTCAACTGGCCTATAAAGGGAAAGATGTGTTTCTTAATCAGGAAAACTATATTCGTACCTGACAGAATCACTAATAGACACTCACCAGTCCTGGGGGTCTGTAGTCCTGAAGCCTTTTGCAAATGGGTTGCTAGCAATTTTTAATTGGGTGATCTGAAAGAGAGAAGGGGGTAAAATAAATTGTGAGATGTCTGATGGGCATTGGTAATATTTATTTTTAGGCTTACTGGTCCTGGGTCTTACTCTGTGGTTCTGATAGGCGGTGACAGCCATGAAGCGTGTCTCTGGGAAGGAGAAAGAGCAGAAGTTTCTGTATGCGTTTAAGTGGCTGTTAGGCGCTGGATCTACATACACCACATGGAAGCGCGGCTGGTAGCGATGCATGGAGTTTAATATCATCTGTCAAGGAGGAAGTAGGAGAAAACACACAACTAAGTCAAAAAAAGGGACATATCTATATGTTCTTTCATTATGAAACAAAAATCAAAACAATGTACTTTACATCTTAGGTTATATGCCCCTTTGTTCTGCAAGAGTTGTATTAAAGACATTAACTGACATGTCCATTGTCATCCAGCAAGTTGTTGGTGAGCTTGAGAGTATCAAAGGACACAGTCTGCTTCATCCACTGGGCTCCACGGGCGGGTGAGTCTGGGTGGAAATGCATCCTGCTTGGGGCAGCAACATCCGCTCGTCCTGCCACCAGCCAAGATGAGCTGTGGAACGCATATCTGACACACACACACACACACACACACACACACACACACATATGTTTACACGTACATTTTTGAAATAGAAGTAATAAGGTAGGATGAAGCTTGCAGAGAGGCTATTAGCACAGATCTAAGTGATATGTGGGCAATCATGGGCTTGAAAAAATGTAAGAAATACCACAACAGACCACAAATACACTAAAAACGTGCTGTGTATTGGAGAAAGTAACAATCTCTATATTACACAATAAACACTGCACATCCACTATGTATGTGTGTCTGACCTGTATCTTTTATCATCAATAGGGATGAAGTCCATCAGCAAGACATATTCAGCAGCAGGATCCATCCCGGATATCCGCACCTGGAATGTTGGAAACATCCTTCTGCAGCAAATGAACACATGAAAATAATGTGGTAAGTGATACTAGAAAAGACAGGGAAAAAAAGGAGAAGGGCAAGATAAGATAATTAATAAATAATATAAGTGTGAGTATGATTGTTACCTTCCAGCTTTGGTAACAATCATCTCTGTGCCCAGCTGGTCGAATTGCTGCCAAAGTGTATGCATCTCCAGCTGAACTCTGACCCCACTGACTTGAGGGGCCTTGGCACTCAACAGTGACCCCCCATCTGCACAGCAGGGCGGAGATAGTCCACAGTTCTGAGGCAGCTGAGGGCCTGAGGAGAGGAGAGGAGAGGAGAGGAGAGGAGAGGAGAGGAGAGGTAAACATTTGTTGATGTTTTGCCTGTCATCATCACATGAATTTATGAGATGTGGTCTCCATAGAGCTCAAACAGTTTTGAACAGAACACTTACTATCCATACTTTGAAGCTCTTCAAGACAAATATTATAAATGAATTTGTCGTTCAGTTTCTTCCTTTGATATTTCTGTTAACTCCAGTCTGTTCTTCCTGTTCTGACCACAAGTAGCAACTCCTGTCACTACATCAAGACCATTTCAGAATCAAACCCACAGCTTTTCTATTCAACATGAAACGGAAGGCAAAAATCTTCTTCCCAGTCCACTGCTAGCTACTAGGATAGATGTACATCGGAGAGTTATGCGTTACGAGTGGCTTCTGTGTCCAGGAACAAGCTGGTTTTATACACCATGAGACTCTCACTGGGGACCTCCATGCCGGCCTCATCCATTACAATACACATAGTGCCACTGACATGCACTAATCACAGCTTCACGTGCATGCATGCATGCAAACCCAAGAATTATGTGCGTACACACACACACACACACACACACACACACACACACAACCTTTTTCGAGCATCCAGAAACCCCTGCTTGCACTGCCTATTGTTTCATATAGCCTAAAGCCTTATGTCGAGCTTGTTTTGACCAATCAGTAGCACATTAATAACATCCTAATCAGCCTGGTGTTACTGGGTGTGGACAGATGAAGACAGTGCCAAACTTCTTTTATTATTCATAGGCTAATTTCTTGGAGAACAGTTTCAACACCAAACTAATTGGAGAGTCAGTTATTCCCTAAAACTGACTAAGGTGGATATTTCTGGTTTTGTTTAATGGCAACATTCTTGCATATTTATAAAATGCTACATAGCAGACTGTCAAGATTACAATGACAAAGTCTTTACTTATTTCCATGGTTGCTTGTTGTTGCATAGGTCCTAGAATGTGTCTTTGTCTCAGAATGTGTGTGTGTGCCATGTAAGGTTTTGTGAACACAGGAAGACCTGAAAATAATGAATAACACCCAAAATAATGCACAAATGATATGATATATGAGCTTGATAAATCAAAGTTGTCTGATTACAGATGTGAGTGTTTAGTGGTGTGGTTGGTTGTGACGTGTGTATGTGTGTGTGTTTACATCTACATCCTCATGTGGCTCTATGATGGGACAGTGTTGAAGGGTTCCAGCCTGAGGGATCCAAAATAGAAAAAGGGTTTTTCCCTAATAAAGACTGAAGTTTGTCAATAGGGCAATTTGCACCCCTCATTAATCACAGCTTTCATGACCACGGGCAGAAATATCTCATATATTGGATGCCTGCCTGAAGTCGAACTGAGAGATATTGTTCTTTTTCAATGCACTTTTTGATCAATGATGACCTTTCAAAATGTTGTATGTGTGATATGACCTTAGAGGCTCACTGAGGCCAAAAACCCTCTAAGAAAGCTGAAGGTGCACTGTTACATTCCTGAAAGGGTAATATTTGTTCTTAAACTGCATTATGTATTTTGACAGTTTAGATCAAATCAGCTTTATTATAATGAATTGCAGTGTCTTATAGATTGTAATAGACAACGCTGTATGTCATTACAGACTGACTGATTTGGAAGAATAGCAAAAGATTTCAGTATCAAACCTGCATAAGAAATTGTTCAAATTAGAGTCAGAGAGCAAAGTAGTATAAACAGTCAGATGTTTATTGAGCTGTATTTCGTCAAAGCACAGTTTTCATCAAACAAGCATCATTACACAGAGTTTCAGGCACTTGTGATAATTCACATACAATTCCTACATAAAATGTAAGCAGCTGGCTGTGGCATGTGAAGAGTAAAGCATGTGTGTGCTGAGCATGTGTCTGTGTACGTCTTTGCTTGCATGTGCTTGAGCTTGCGCACATGAAGTAAAGTGTTTGCATAGGAGAGAGAAAGAGCAAGAGTCCCGCCATTTTGTTGCAAAGGAATGCATCAGTGAGGCATTGGCTTCATGTTGGGAGGTGATCTGTATGTGCATGTAAGGAAAGAAGGAATGGAGAGAAAGGTTGGATCTAGGACAGACAGGTAGGTGAGGTTAGTTACAAGAACAGGGTAGAGAGTATTTAGTTCTTGTTGACGGTAGCAGCGATGGCCTCAAAGATAGCTTGGAGCTTAGCCCTGACGTCCTCAGCTAAAGGTGTAATCTTTTCCTTCAGGGCAGTGAGCTCATCGGTGTTGATGTTTTGTGCCTGGCTGTAGGCCTGCTTCAGCTGGTCCTTGTACTCTTCGACGTAGGGAGAGGCCATGTCCTTCAGGGTCTCCAGACGCTCAGAGAGCTTGTTACGCACAGCTTCCACAATGGGCATCAGGGCGGTCTTGGTCTCATCCAGGTTGGTAGCCACCTTTTGACGCAGTTCCTCCACAACGGGATCCAGCTTGATCCTCAGTGCATCCATATCAGCTGTGTGCTTGGCATAGTAATCGTTGATGATGGGCTCCATCTGGGCACGGTATTCATTGATGTGCTTGTTGACGACATCCCTCAGCTCGATACGCTTGGTCTCAGTCTCGGCCTTCAGGTTTTCGATGTCATTTATCACAGTGGTACGCAGGTCAGCGGTGGCATCAGAAATGGTAGCAACAACTTGGTCGGTGATGGGGGACACAGCACCCTGCATAGCCTTGATCTGGTTGTACATGACATCCAGGCGCTGAGACAGGCTGGTCCTAGTAGAGAAAAATAATTTTGGCTAAAGTTAAATAAACATCAAAAAGTAAATGATGACTTGAGAAGTATAAAAAGTGACCAAGGCAGAAAGTTTAGTGAACCAGTGACTGAGTAAATATCAATTACAGAAAGTAAGGAGAGTGACATGGCCTTACTTGAGCTCTTTGTACTCAGTGTCATCGAGCTGGTCCAGGGCTCTGTTGGCACTGTCCTTCACCTGAGTCAGGTAGATGTCCATGACAGCCCGGAGGTGTGCCAGCTGAGAAGGTGCATCAGCCTGCAGGGAAGCGGCCTGAGAGCCTGAGGAAGAAAAGAAAGGAATGGTTAGGAGGAATGATGAGCAAAAAGAGAGAGAAGGGGGAAGAGAAAAGGCAACACTATGCAGAAAACACGGTATTTCAAATGTCATTTAAAATAAAATATGTTTAAGGTGTTTTAACTATATGTATAAATTATATACTGACTGAGTGAAGCTGTGCATGCAGGTCAAAGTTTTTCCTTTAAGTAAGAAACAGCACATTGAGTACTCACCGACAGCCAGCAGAAGGGCGAGAGCGAGAGCTACAAATTTCATGATGATGGTCTAGAACGGAAAAAGAGGCAACAGTTTCTGATTATTCACTGAACATGTTACACACACAGTATCACAGTTAAAGGAGTTTCACTGAAAATGTTTAAACTACACAAAGAAATGAACAAAAATCCACTTTAAAAGTATAAACCTGTTAATACAATAAATCCCCCACCTAAAGCAATGTGAAGGCCAGATAAGCAGACTTAAAAATTGGACTAGTCTTAAAACACTGTTAAAGCTACACACTCATCCCTGAATCGGCCCAAATAAATTCACACTAAACATATGGCTGTCTATTAAAAGAACCTGTAATCTGGGTAGATTAGATAGACAGCTCGAGCAGATTAGCCCTGGACTGCTAGGCTATGTACTCCTGATCCAGGTTTTAGAGTAAGATGCAGTCATAGAATTAGCAAATCAGCTCTTTGGACTTCAGACAATCTCACTCCAGAGGCTCTTAAGTTTAGAAATTTTTACATCTCCTTGAAATGAAGATAACTGTAAAACATCACCACAGGCTAAACTGCATTGTCCCAGAGTTACAGTTAATTAAATGAAAGTCACATTCAAACTCAATTTATCTTCTTTCCAGAGATTATTTTTGGTACTAGTTCACAACACCGACAAAGCATACAAAGTACAGAAAGCTCACTCTGGCAGATCAGAGTGAGTAGGTTCTCCAACAGTTACTCCTCTCTATTCTACAGCCCAAGTCCCAGTTAGAGCCACAGCAGTTGGTTGTCTTACCTGGTGGAGTTCGTGATGAGACTGAACAACTTCAGCAAGAGCAGACTTTTTATAGTGCCCGGGTGAGGGATGAGTCCATGTGGGGAGGAAGGGGGGGTGGGGGTGGGGGTGGTGGAGGTGTGAGGGCTGTGTGTCTCCGTGGAGGTGGACCTCACCCCCCAGCCATCTCCCTCAGCAGGGGAACTGGGTTGAGAGTTCAATGGTCACCTGCTGGGAGGAGATCACTCAGCACACACACCGACACACACCGACACACACCGACACACACCGACACACACCGACACACACAGTAACAGATTCACTACGGATTATCATACATGTGCTGAACTTTTACAGAAATACAAACATTTCTTAGAAAGAGGCTCTAAATTCTAGCTATTAGAAATTTTCTGCTTGATAGAGGCCTTTCTAAACTGTCCTGTGGCTGAGCCTGTTGTGTGGAGGACATGAAAGGAAGAAATTAACAAAAACCAAGTCGATGTGAGACAGGAGAGCTGGATTGGGGGAGGGGGATTGGTGGAAAGAATGGGAATAAAATGGAAGACAAGAAATCAGGTATGACAAATATATGTGAAAAGTGCCACAGGAAAAATTATTTGAATGTTTCCACATAGCTGAAGTGCAGGTGGCTCACAGGGATCTGTACTGGGTCCTGTTTTATTTTCTACATATTTTGCAGCATAAACTTCAAACAACAGTTTAGATTGACCCCCTGGGGTGGTTTTCTTGCACAACATTTGTTACAGAGGAGTGTGTAGGAAGGACAGGAAAGCCACATTATTTACAGTCCTAGAGCTTCCAAATGGCTGCCAAGAAAAGCAAACAAGAGCAAACAAAAAACAGTGACTTGATGCAATCAGCTCGCTGAAATGTGATCGCGTTTGATATCCACTCAAAAAATTGTGGGTAACAAATAAGCAAACACGTTCACGCACTAGAAACAACACACAACATAATATGATAATCTAGATACAGAGTATCAAGACAGACTTATCTCACTTTACGGTTGACAAAATTTGTGGCTCGTGTGTGTGCGATGATTAATGGGTCAAAGTGTGGTGTGTGCCAAGCTGTTGTTTGTTGTCCTATCACCAGTGGACTTTGTCTCCATGGCTTCATGTAGTTTGAGGAATAAGGAATAGGAATCATTATAGTATAGAGAATTGTCT